TGGTGTTCTTGTCCTCAGGGCCCAAGAGGGTCTTGAAGATGTTGTAACTCTCGCGCATGCGGTCGACGGCCCTCTTAGCGTCTTGGTCGAGGGCAAGGGCCTGAGCAAGCTGGAACAAGAGAGTGGCGGAGTGAACAGTCTGCTCGCCGAAGACCTTGTTGCAAACACGGAGGGACTCCTCGAACCAACGACGAGACTCGTGGTAGGCCTTGATGCTCTGCAACATGACGGCATAGTTGTTCATGGTGGTGATGGTATCGGGATGGTCAGGTCCATAGATGACCTTCCAGAGATCAAGAGCATGTCTGGCGTAGAGAAGAGCCTGCTGGCTGTCACCACGCTGGTGGAGGAAAAGAGAGAGGTTGAGGTAGTTCAACACAGTCTCAGCCGAATCAAGACCGACGGTCCGCTCGGCAACGATGGCAGCCTTGCGGGACAGCTCAACAGCGGCATCCTTCTGGCCCAGCTGGTAGTAGAGCTGCGACAGAGTGTGGTACATCTGGGCGACCTCGGGGTGGACGAGACCATAGATCTGCTCATGCAGAGAGAGGGACTCGAGGAGAAGGTCCTCGCCGAGTTTCTTCTGGTTCTGGTAGATGGAGAGACGGCCAGCCTCGAGAGCCTCCTCGGCAAGGGCGCTACGGGGGGTAGAGTCCTTGACGATAGGAACAACGTTGACGAAGTCGTCAGGGCTGAAGGTGTGGGGCACAGTCACAACAGGGGCGGCGGCCACAGGGGAGGTCTCACGAGCTGCCTTCTTCTTCTTCTTCTTCTTGTTGCCATCCTCAACGGGGGCAGGAGCGGGGGCAGCAGCCTTCTCAGCAACAGGCTCAGCCTCGCCCTCGGTGGCAACGAAAGCGTACTTCTTGTTCTGAATCTGCAGACCGAGCTTCTGAGAAACCTCGCGGAGCATCTGGATGTGCTGGAGCTGGTTGAACCAGCCATCGTCCAGAGTGAATCGGAAGCGGTGGAGAATCTCCTGCTGCATAGCCTCCCTCAAGCTCTCGGGAGTGACCTTCTCGAAGCTGTAGTCGGCATCGCTGAACACCTTGCGGAGCTCCTCATCAACCTCGGCGGCAGGGGACGAGTTAAGACCGAAGCCCAAGAAGCAATTCAGGAGGTGGGCCAAGCAGGCAGAAGTCAAAGGAAGAGGCAGGTACCTCAAGTACTTGGCGGCGACGTGCTTGAAAGCTCTGGCGATCATCTCACGAACGCAGAGCTGACGGAAGCACTCGACACGGGTACCCTCGGCGAGGGTGGCGAGCTTACCGAGGTAACGCATGTTGATACCGCGGCGGTGGAGGAGGCGGGTGAGCGAACGGCCATCCATGGGGAAGCTGATATCGGACTCCTTAAGATCGTTCAAAAGGGCAGGGATGACAGAGTCACGGAGGTAGGTGCAGGCGTCACGGACGTCCTGCTCATCCTGGGCCATCTCGGCCTTCTCCTCCTCAGTCTGAGGAACCTGGCCGCTGAAAACGTCGGGGTTCAGGGCAAACTTGAAGTTGCTGATATCGATGCGCTCATCCTCCTTGGCAGCCTCCTCCTCATCCTTCTTCTCGGCAACCTCGGTGGACTCAGCAGCCTCCTCAACCTTGGTCTCCTCAGCCTTGGGCTCCTCAGACTTCTCGCCTTCCTCGGTCTTGGTCTCTTCAGTCTTGGCCTCCTCAGTGGCCTCAGTGGCCTCCTCGCCCTCCTTCTTCTCCTCGGGCTTCTTGATGACGCCGCGCTTCAGAAGCTCAGCCTGGACATACTCCCTGGTCTTCTGCTTGGCCAAAGACTCAACGAGCTCGGGGCGGAGCACAGTCATGCGGTGGGGGTACTCAGAGCCCTCAGGTCCGCTCTCCTCCATCCAGGCAATATCCAGGGGAGTGATGCGGTACAAGTCCAAAACGTACTTGCGTCCATCAGTTCCGAGGAGACCCTTCATCTCAACACTGGCCTCGAGGTCGTGGCGCTTGTTCTCCTTGTCCCAAACGGCGTGCTTCTTGACGCGCAGGGCAGTGGCGAGCTTCTCGAAAGAAGGAGCGAAGCGCTCATCAGCGGCAACGATGTCCTTGCCATCAACAGCACCGTAGTGGATCTGGTTCTCGCCAGCCTCGGGCTGCTTGAAGATGCCAGGAACGATGCTCTGGCCGACAATGCGCTTACCGAGATAGTCGATAACAACGGTGCCGGGAGTGTAGAGACCGTCAATGTCAAGCTGGTTCACGAGCTTGACACCAAGAACATCCTTGCCGGTGGCAACACGGGCAGCCTCATCACCACCCTCGCTGGTGAAAGTGCCGACACCGTCAGCGCCGAAGGAGAAGAATATGTTGTTGTAGACGAAGATCTGCGCATCCTTGTCCTCAGTAGGGTTGAGGGGAGCAACCTCGCCGCGAGCGACGAGGACGGCACCGCGGGCAGCGGCATCAGTGTAGTCAGCAAAGAGCTTAGCGAGCAGACGCTCCCTGAAGACGCGATCCTGGATGGTCTCCTTGGGAAGCTCCTTGGCAGACTGGAACTCCTCGTTCCAATCCCTCAGAGAGTCAACGTTCTCAGCGCCGCCGAGCAGGTAGGTCTCCTGCGAGCGGGTGTTGTCGGCCTCGTGGGCAGTAAGGGAAGAGTTGTTGGAAGGAACCAACCACGGCGCAGACGGGAAGGTGTTGCCGACCTGGAAGGTTGCCAAGGGGTCCTTTTGGCTGGAGAACTCCTGGAACTTCTTGAACGACTCCTCGAAAGAAGGAGAAAGCTTCTTGAGAAGAGTGAAGAGAGAGTGGGAGGCGCAATCCTTGGGGGCCGGCTTGGGGAGAGGGTCGAACTTGGCGTTGCTGCACCTGTTGACGAAGAAGCCACCAGCATGGGCGGTAACGTGGTGCTGCTCACCCTCGTTGGTCTGGACGACGAGGTAGAGAAGGTGACCCTTTTGCCTCCAGTAGGCAGGAGGAGGGTTCCACGGGGGATAGAGAGATACTTGATGGTCTTGGGAGCCGGGCCGGTCTCCTTGGGGAGCAGGATGGCGAGGTCAGCGGGAGCCTGGAAGTCGTACTCCTTGATCTCGGCCTCGGGGGCGTCGGGGTTCTCGACCACAATATCGTCGTGAACGGAAACGCCGGCAAGAACGCCGTGGACGGTATCGGTGCGGTCTCCGGAAGCGCCAATCAGCTCGCGAATGCGGATGAGGTGAATGCGGGCCTCCTTCTCGGTGTAGGGGTCCTCGACAACATGTAGCTGGGCGCCGTTCTCAAGACCCTCGACGTCGGAAACCTGGATGAAGTCGTTGATCTTCTTGCCGTTGAACTCAAGGTGGAAGCACGAGAACTCGATGGCGATGGGGTGCTCGATTATCGACTGGCGGATCTCGTGGATCTGCTCCATAGGGGACACCTGTTGCGCCGTCTTAGAAGACTGGTTATTTGGTGGTGACATGCGGTCATGGAACACATACAGGGATATCAAGTGTCTCGGTGGTGTGGGGGAGAACGATGGTGACGACGAAGGGCTGGTCCTCGAGGGCCTGCTCGGCGTCCTCCTCCGTCTGTTCCTGTTCTGTTGTGCCATTGACGTCGGCCGGAGGCGTCTGGGTCTCGGGAACCTCGGGGACGGGGTTGCCTATTGGGAGAGAAGGCTTGTGTTAGCAACGATGTATGGACGGCGGCAACGGTGACAGCGACAGCGGCAGGTAGGTAGGTCTGGCAGACAACATGTATGCAGCGGGTAGGTAGGTGGGTGGACAGGTAGATAGGTATGACAGGTCCGGGCTCGCCCCGTCTCGAGTTTGATATGTACAACAACAGCTGTGTTTGGGACTTGATGTTTGAGTTGGCTTCTTCTTCTTCTTCTTCTTCTTCTTCTTACCCTCGACAGCGGGAGTGGTTGCTTGGGATGCGTCCGCCATGATTGTGTGTTGATACCTTGTGGACTAGCGCAGCAAGGTGTAGTGGGAAACAGAAAAGACGACAGGCTGAGGTATATGAAATGAGGTTGAAAGGAGGGGATGGGGACGGAAACTCGGTCGAGATACGGTCCTGGTCCTAGGCCTGGTCCTGGTCTCGGGATTCGAGGCACACAAAAAAGAGTGGTTTAAAAGTGGAATTCTACAAGTCCCTTGAACCGGGCAAGGCGACAAAAAAGACAAATTCAGAGAGTCCAATTGGGAGGAGATTAGACAAGTTCAAAGAGGCGAAAGTTGCAGAGAGGATGTCTCAAAGTGTAAATATATTTCACGGTATCGTCAGGCATGCAGGACGTGTAAATGACTCTTTCCCTCACCTTCGGCCTTCACCAAATTCTGGGGGCGTTCGGATCAGACATCAACTTTTTTTTTCTCGTCTCGGCCTATGATGCAGATTACTGCCGGGTCTAGCGGCCGGCAACAGCCCGTTACCAGGGCATGACTCGAGGCGGGCAAAGGCGGACAGGCGGGTGGGTGTGAGAGGGTCCATGCTTCCTCTCCATTCCCCCGCCTTCAGCACTTCCCCTCCGGCGATCGCCACTCACAGGTCACAGCGCTCAGTGCCCGCCCTCCGAAGCAGCTCGCGACGTCCAGTTCAGAGCAAGGACAGCAAGACCTAAGAAGTTCACTGCAACATGTCACTCCCGAGTCCCGACAACCGAAGCAGAGGACGCAAGGTGGCTTGAGCTTGTACAAAGGGCGATTCCTGTTTCCATGCGATCTGGTTGGCTGATTGCGACCAAGCCCCATATTTGCGCCTCGATCCAGTTGCTCCACCCCGCCAAAGACGCTAGTCCAAAGACGGCATGCAAGTAAACATCAATATCGGGCATTCCAGAAACGCGACCAGAAAGCAATCTCAATCACAGCATTCCGACAAACAGAAATCCACCGACCAAACATGTATCAGCGTTGAACAAAGGACTCGACGGTATTTTTTGGCGTATGGACATTCGACAACAACATTTGTTCTTTAATCGCTTTAGTTTAATCGAGAATCTTTGGGTCAACTTGATATTCGTCGCCGGCATCAAAGCAATTTGCTTAATATTATTTTCGCTTCATGGACTATTCCCCGCCAACCTCTCCGCAACCATCATGGCAATCACCAAAACGAAGACCACCGCATCAGACCGGAACGGCAAAAAATGAACAAGCCCAGCCCTGGACAGCGACGAGATGTCACCGCCTACTTCGCCCTCTACTTGCCCATATCGGCACTTTGAAGAAGGAGAAAGCGCGACGGTCGGGAGTAACCGACAGCATAGACGACGGAAATGGCCCACCGAACGCGAGTCCAAGTAAGCAAAAAGGTCGAGGTGGTTCAAGACAGACAATATACCACAGCAAGGCATCATCACGAGCACACTTGAAGACGCCCGAGAAACCGCGGCGACAACGAGCTGGCAGAAGGCCTGTCCAAGAAAATGCAGTACCTACTCCCTACCTTAGGCATACTACGAACCACCATCTAGCATCGTCTCCAGCTCAGCCCGTTTTATTTGCTCCAACAGAAAACACCTTAACCAACGAACCTGGAGGAAGCGCAAGGTGTGTTCACAGAGGCTATAAGGGAGGTCGATGCATGCTGGAGGCGTCGTTGAGTCAACTTCGGGAAACGGTGGACCGAGAGATGTACTCAACATATGAGGCTGTCTTCCGCGCGCTGGATGCCTTGCTCCGAGCTACCTGTCCTCCAGAGCCTCAAACCAGCGGCTCCTCCAAGTCCCTCCTCGCCATGTGCTTGCGGAGAATACCGGATTACATCGCAGAGCTCGAATACTGGGAGAAAACGGACGCCGAGGCAAACAAGACCAAGTCCGTCATACAAGAGCCCAAAGCGTCATTCTACATCTACTCTGAGCTTGAGTCGCTGGGTGCGTTGGGAGGATGGAAACATCTCCGCACAGTAGTCAGAGCCCATGGCGTCCAGATTATCCAGGGTGCCATCAGGGACGGTTTGGTAGAGGATCGAGTGGCAACTACGCTCATCGGTCTCTGTTGTATGTACCTACCGTTTGTCGAATCCATGGGTCTTATCGATGTTTTTATTTCGCGTCAATACTCACCACCAGATCCCTCCGTGCGTGACGGGCTCACGGTGAAAGCACCTGCTCTATTTCCGCTCTGGGCGTTTGGATTGGGCAATGGGACGACTAAACGCTTCATGCTTGGAAAACTGGCCGATCTTTTTGGCGATGGCTCTTTGCCGGCGGAGTGGTTGCTCGTCGATGCCTTCAAGAACACGCGCCTAGATGCCATGGCGAAAATGTTCTACGGCGCCGGGCAAGACTGTGTTGATTTCATGATCACCATGATCAACGTTCTTTCCCCTTTGATGTCAGCATGGAGGAAAAAGAAGACGCTGGCTTCAGCTTCTTGTTCTTCCACTGACAAAAATCCGCACCAAGAAGCAGCCGCAGTCCTAACTGGGGGCATGGCAACGCTGGTGTCAGAGGTGCTCAGTTATTTGGACGACCCTGACAGGGAACGGCCCACGCTGACGCCGGCTCAGCGAGCGGTGTTTGTTCACCGCGTGCGGTACATCTTCCGCGCATACCTCCTTCATGCCAGAAAGACGACGGGTCTCCCAACTCCCGCTGTGTATCTTATCAGTCTCTGCGATTTCCTCGCATTCAGAACCGAGTCCTCGGCCGCAACCATTGCCTCAGCAGCATGGAAAGAGGTAAAGAGCGGCCAGCGCATTGACCGTCGGGACGAGCAATACTTGACCACACTGGGAGTTTTGAGCACGATAGTGAGCAACTACAGTCGGGAAAATGGGTCAACCAGCGCCCACACCTACATTCCCCAAATCTGTGACAAGCTGAAAGTGCTGCAGATTCCCGACAAGCTCCCCTACCACCCGTTTGAGAACATTGACATTGACGTCGCCTTCGCCGTTGCGTTCCAGACCAACGATCTCCAGGACCTTGCCTACGCTGAAAAGCTATGGGCCAAGAAGAACTCCGTCACCTGCTCTTACACCTGGATGAAGCCGACGCCCTACTACGAAGAGCGCATCCGCGCCAGGGGGGAGTCGGAGGGTAAGCCCTTTTCAGGATTCAAGTGGGACGATGCTCTGAGCGAGTGGGTCACGCTAGACTCCCCTGAATCGCCCGTGGGAGTAGGCGGAGGTCGAATGACGAGGAGGTCGACAAGGTGCCCACCTAAGACGGATGCGCTCCAACAGTATCCTTCTCCTACGACTGCTACACCAGCTGCCGTTGCATCCGCATCTACATCTACATCAGGGACCAATCGCAGACCAACGCGCGGTACGCGCCTGTTACGATCTAGCTCGGCCTCTACTACAACAACGCCTGCCACCGACGATAACACAGTCGATGACGACGACGACCTCGAAAATGACGAAGAAGACGACAACAGCTCTGAAACCTCCACTACCACATCTCAAACCGATGCTGACGTCGCCTCAGATTCTGAATGGGATTCCGACTTTGAAACATCAAATGTCGTAGGCTTAAACAAAACACGCCATCAGCAGATACCAACCCCAAGAACACAACCACCTCCTCCAAGAACGCAACCGCAACCGCAACCGCAACGGCGGCGGCTGAGCGGCAACAAGCGAAAGTTGAGACCTCTCGATACTGAGGACGAGGATGAGGACGGCCAAGAAGGGGACTCCAATGAGGATGACGACAACGATAACCTCATACGTTGTCCTGTGGCTAAAAGGCCTCGGACGAGGGCTTCATTGGCTGCTGCTACTGCTACTTCTGGTGCTAGTTCTACTGCCAGTGGTATTGCTACTGCTAGCGGCAGCGGCACCAGTGGTGGTGGCCGAACTGCCCGGCGGTCACTCGGGAGATATGCCGGTAGCAGCGGCAGTGGCAGGGCGGTTCATGAAGATACCAGCGAAGATGAACTTGGCTAGGTATAAGCATTTGGAACAGACGAAGAAGCATTCTCGTCGACTACTCACTTTTTGCTTCACAATTGGTTTACTTTGCAGGATTGTTGGATTATGATCTCTCCCGGATAGAAATAGGGGGACAAGAAAGAAACGGAGAAAAGAACGAAAGGTCAGAATACCCCGATTGTTCTTACCTAACATTGACATTGGCTACTTGCTGGATGCTAGATTCGGTTCTGAGCACACATGACTTGGAGTTGGTTGGTTACACATTTGTATAGATGATATCTCTTGAAAGAGGTAATGTTAGACTAGAATAGATATCGTGTTTGAGAACACACCATCAAATATCGATTATTATCACATGATCAAATCTTCAACCTTACCTTACCTTGCCCGATTGCCTCTGCTGACGTTTTTCTACCTCTACTTTGTACATGCCTCCTCCTTGCCATCCTTCCTGTCTCCTGCACCACCCCCTCCCGTCGAGACAAGATGAACTTGTACATTTGAAACATCCCCCCAACCCCACTGCGCTTCGCCTTACCTTACCTTTGCCCCTTGTCTAGGTCGGTCTAGGTGGTTTAGGCTACTTTCCCCACGAAGCTCAGACTCCGCCGCGCGTATACTTGCCCCCAGTTTCTCGCTCGCTTGCGAGTTTTGGTCCGGTTCTCGTTATATCGGTTTTTTTTTGGGGGGGGTTTTTTTGTTTTTTTTTTAAAAAAAAATCGACCGTGACCAGTGGTCCCCGTGACGACATATCTGACGTGCTGAGAAGTGTATATACTCTTGGATATCCGGGCTGTGCTCAGTGGTCTACCGGGGAAGCCCGTCATCGGGTTGTTATCATATCAATCTATCTACCTTGTTCTTTCTTGTATACTTGATACCTACCCTTGAGCTACGAAGCTCTGGTCTCAAAAGGCAGAAGAGTACTTACATAGAGGTACCCATCTTTCCCCAGTATAAAGGATTGGGGCGGGGATCTCACTCATACGCGAATTATTCATGTCTCTAGGACGGGTACCCGTCACTTAATCCATGAATCCATCAGTCGTCAACCGAGAACCTGCTCCTCCTTCTCCTTCTTCTCCTTAAAAGGGACTTGGAATGGAAGAGACGGGAAGACTTTTCTTAAAAGACGGTCCGTCATGTCACGTGTTACACAACCATTTACCAACGGGAAGGCAACCTGGGGAGGGACAAGCACCAGTGAGTCCAGTGTGAGGGCCTAGACTCCTAGAGAACGATTTAGGTATGTAGGTAATTTGGTGTGCGGTGTTTGACTTGGATCCCAATCCAGGAACAAGATTAGATTGCTGCTGCTGGCTGCGAGATGGCACGATGGGGGAATGCATGTTTCGACATACACTACGGTGCCAGGTGCCTGAAGGATTTCTCTACTGAGCCTCCCTCAGCCAGCGGTTTAGGCGTAGGACTCGGTGTCGGGCGGTGCTTCACAAACAACTGTAATGGCGTATGAGTGGGTTTCATCAGGTGTGTGTGTGTGTGTGTGTGATGACGCCGCATGGCACGGTAGGTAGTCGTTGTTGAGGCTCTCTCACACACTCTTTTTTCCGGCCCGTCCATTGTTTCCGTTGTTGGTGACCGGGAGTGAAAGTTGTGGTGATGGTGGCCACTGGCCCATTCGGTTGAGATGGCGATGACGGAGCTATGTGATGACCAACGTTCGAACCGGTCCCGTTTCGGTGAGCCGCGCAGGCTATAAACAAGCTCATTCGACTTCGGCAACGCCAGATTACCCTAGAGGAGACGGTCTTATCTACTACCGCCAGGGGTTCGTCTCAAACTCAAACTCCCAAACTCGACGATGAACTTTCCATGATGTTGATCCAAGAGACCAGGACAAGGTTGGTTTGATCATTCAGGCTCGTCAGGGTGGAAACTGGAAAAGAGGAAAAGAGGAAAAAAGTTTTATAAAACACTACGACCTAAAAGTCAACCAAGTCCTGAGCTTTGAATTGTTTTTCGGAGAGTGACTGACGGGGTGACCTGGAGATACTGTAATGAAGTGCCTAGCTATTGGCTATCCGGGGGTCTGTTTCGACACACGCTTGGCTTCGCAACGGCGGGACTGGGGACTTGGGGTGAGGGAGATTACGTGTATAGACAGAATGCTCGGCGGTTGAAGACCCTAGAGACCACACGGCGATAACCTCCTCTTCAAGACCTTGGGTTGCAAACGAGATCCACAAAGATGACCTCTGCTCTCGTTTCTCGTTCCCCAGTAGACGAGCCCGTTCAGGGTACGGGTTTCTTGGTATGTAGGCATTGATGGCCTTGGAGGTGTTGTAAACGTAACTGTTTGGGATGCGTGGCAGGGGTTACGGCACATGGCCTTTGCTTGGCTGATGAGTTTTGGGACGATATGCGTGTCAATGGGGGATGTCCGTGATGAGTACCATGTGGATGTTTGCACAGAAAGAGTCGGTGATTCCTGCGAGACGTGATTGTGTGGGCAGTGGCTTTCTATCAAACCGACTTCTCTGCAGCTTGTCGTCGGTGACTGATGTTGTTGCTGTTCACAGCAAAAGAGATGCTGAGGTGCATTCCCGTGGGCGTGATGAGATGGAAGAGACTGAACAGCTGCCCCGAGACCTGCTTCCATGTGGAGATGTTGGTTCATCCAACCGTTGGCTGATGGGTGGTTCTGGTGGCTCAGAGGCCGTTTCAGCCGACGTGCGCGTGTTCGGGAACATGGCAGCTTCTGGCCAGACATCCGGGAGGCTGATGGTTGAATTTTGGAACGATAGGATGACTGGCGAAGGGGCGATTTCAGTGAGAGCAGCGACTTCAGGGGAGCCTTCCAATTGGCTCCCGCTGAAAGGTGCACATACGAACCCCATTTTGGGAGTTCCCGTTCGTCTCTTTTTCGGTTTTCTCTCTCTCGTCTCTTTTCGTTGACCATCCAGACCACTGCAGTGTCGAAGAGTGAGTGTTTGCAAACTCGTTGTTTTCAGCGCTGCGACCCGGCGGTGGATAGAGCATCACTTCCATTCGCAGCACTGCAGCCGCCACAATGCAGGGACACCCGATCCCATATTGTTATTGCAGGAGGAGGCCAAGGAGGGCCAGGTATTTCAGGTGGTCCCAGCTCTGAATCCTGCCCGGCGTGGACTCCACTAACCTAAGCCCCGGCAACGGCAGCGGCGGCGGAAAAACCAGGGGAAATTGATACGCCAGACGACATGGATAACTCGGCCTTGATTGCCTTGAGGTTGTCTTGTCGTTGAAAACTTCAGACGAACCACATGCACGGCACCCCATGGAGATGGACTGATCGTGGGGAATATCCCAAGTGACCCAGAAACACCCAAACGGAGATCCGCAGTCGACTATCTACTAGGTATCGAGTGGCACGTCAGAATGGACGCTGCTGGAATTCTCTATATGGAATCCACAACCACTCGCTGGGTCGCAGTGACGGCGCTTTGTGACGGATGTGCATGCCACACGACATCTGATGTCTCCCCTTGCGTGGAAAGATCTGTATCACCGTGACCACCGGCTGGAATGTCGTCAGCAGGAGGAAATAGAAACGCAATTGCAACTCTATTAGGGAGATCTGACCAACACCACTATCACTACTATAATCATCGTTTGGAAGCTAGACATAGTACATCCCGATGTGCATGAGAGGCGTCTGGCAAGTCCCGTTGTACTCCCTCTTTGACTCTGAGTGTTGATGCTGAGCGCATTATCCAGGGGCAACCACATAAAAACAACACACAACAACCACAACATGCAGCAACTGAAAACACGAACAGAGACCACAAGACGCCTTCTCTGTGGCGGACGGCCATGAAAAGAAAGGTACAGCTGGGTGAACTGGTACACAACCACACAGGCGCATGAATTAAAAGGTACGCGTGGTCAGGGATTGGACGAGGGCATGCTCCCCCCGCCCTGGTCTCACCCTCCACCAAGTCCACCTTCTCAAGTTCCATTTGGACGATCGCGCCGGCGATAAACCCACCACACAAAACCCACTCTGGGACTTAACCACGCCTCGAGCAAGGCCGAGCACGCCTGCCCAGTCACACCCTCCTTCTCGAACCCGTTGACCCATTCGCATTCTTGCCATCCATTCTCTCTCATTTTATGCCCAGGAATCCCCCTTCTCCATTTTCCATCTTCCATCGTTCAATTTTCCTCCCTCCACTCCCTTCCCCAACTCCTGGGTTCCGTCATCTTTTTTCACCCGCAAAAGGCTCCATCCATCGTGCCAGTCGTAACTTGGCTGTCACCTGTCGACAATTTTGGCCTTTTTTTCGTCGCCCTCCTTCTTTCAACCGTCATTCACCATTCCTTCCCTTGTCAGTGTTGATCGTTGACCGAACACGACCTACATTCACTACGCGCCTTCGAAAGGATCCCTTCTTTCCACATCTTACCCCGGAGGCTCAACCGTCAACCCGAATTCGGCAATCATAGAAACACTCACCACACACCCAATCCCGGTCACCCAATCTTCAACTCATCAGTCCCACGCTGGCGGCCCAGGGACAGGACGTCACTATCATTAGACATTCACTCGACACGCCGTTACGACACTCAGAAGCTACCCGCGCTGGACTCGGGCAACCTTGGGGTCGTATATCAACCATTCATTCGTCAAGAGCCATATCGACCATCTAGACTTCAGCCTATGCTTTAGGACTGTTACACGCCAAAACGACGCTCTCAGGCGTCTATCACTTGTATCACAACATCAACAACTACTTACCGGAAACGAGAAAAGAAAGGATAAATCAAAATGTCAGCTCAGCCACAAGGGAACGCAACGGCGGGAGCGCAAGGGGGGCATGCAGGAAGTGCTGCTGGAGGTGGAGGTGGAGGTGGAGGTGGAGGTGGAGGTGCAGCTGCTGAAGGTCCGGATGAAGCCGCCATCATCAACGACATGCTCTCGGGATATCTACTTCTGGTCCTGGGATGTATCTCCGCTGCTCTGATCATCTGGAGACTCAGCACAGGCCTCAGCAAATACGTACGACATGTTTCCTGCCTCAACAACGATACGCAGAAATACTTTGCTAGGGCAGGCGCCAAGTGGTCGTGGTTCAAGAAGAATATCCAGTACTCGCCCATTCTCAGCAAGAGGCACAACCGCGAGTTCCAACTCAGCTCGGCCATTAACGTTGGAACTCTTCCCACCCGCCTTCAACTCGTCTTCCTCCTCGGCTACTTCTCCACCAATGTCGCATTCTGTGTTATGGGGATCGACTTCTCGCAGCCAGTGGGCGCGTCCGCCACTGTGTTCATCAACCGTACTGGAACCCTCGCTGTCGCCAACATGATCCCATTGTTCCTCATGGCCGGCCGGAACAATCCCCTCATCAACTGGTTGGGTATCTCGTTCGATACCTTCAACCTCCTTCACCGCTGGTTGGGGCGTATTGTGGCTTTGGAGGCTCTTGCTCACACCCTGGGCTACCTTTACCGTTCAGCTGCTTCCAAGGGCTGGGCTGTGGCTTTCCAGGGTATCTTCAAGAGCGACTTCCTCATCTACGGTTTCGTGGTATGTAAATATTGTATTTTGATGGTCAGTGCGTGAAGTACAGCAGCTAACATGCTCTTAGGCAACCGCTGCTTTTATCCTCATCGCCATTCAGGCGACCAGCATTTTCAGGCACGCCTTCTACGAGATCTTCAAGATCTTGCACATCGCCTTGGCCATTGCCTCCGTCGTTGGCCTGTACTACCACCTCGGACCTAAGGGGTTCCCGCAGATCAAGTACCTCTACCCGGTCATGGTCTTGTGGGCTTTTGACCGTGCTGCTCGCTTCCTCCGGGTGGCGTACTACAACTTCGGATCTGGCGGCGGCAAGGCTCTCGTTGAGGCTCTCCCTGGCGGTGCCACACGCGTCACTGTGACCATGGCGCGCCCCTGGTTTTTCAAGCCCGGCCAGCACGCTTACCTCTACTTGCCATCCGTCAGCCTCTGGCAATCTCACCCGTTCTCCGTCGCATGGAGCGAAGAGGCCGAGTCGCTCAGTGAAAAACTTCCCATGGCCCGCAGCGACGTGCTCGCTATGAAGAAGACGACCGTTTCTTTCATCATTCGTGGTCGCACGGGCATGACTGGCAACTTGTATGAAAAGGCTGCTTCATGCGTCGACGGCAGGATGGTGACGAGGTGCCTCGTTGAAGGTCCCTACGGAGGCATGCATCAAATGCACTCGTACGGTACCGTCATGCTCTTTGCCGGCGGTGTTGGTATCACACAGGCGGTGCCCCACGTCCGTGATCTGGTCATTGCCTACAGCAACGGCATGGCGGCTACGCGCAAGATTATCTTGGTCTGGACTATCCAGAGCCCTGAGCACTTGGAGTGGATCCGCCCCTGGATGACGGAGGTTTTGGGTATGGAGAAGCGCCGCGAGGTACTCCGTATCATGCTTTTCGTCAGCAGGCCGCGCTCGACAAAGGAGATTCACAGCCCAAGCTCAACAGTGCAGATGTTCCCGGGCAGGCCGAACATCGACACGCTACTAGCAAGGGAGATGGAAGACCAGGTGGGCCACATGGGCGTCTCGGTGTGTGGCCCTGGTGCGCTCAGCGACGAGGTCCGTCGCGCTGTCAGGAACAAGCAATACAACGGTGCGATTGACTTCGTCGAGGAGGCGTTTTCTTGGTGAACGTAGAGGAAAATTCCGTTGGAATTGGTAACAGGCAAAAAAGGCTTGAGGTTATGAGATATGAACTCACATTTCTGCTATTTGAAAAGAAAATCGCTCAACCCGTCTTGTCGTACATATCATGGCTGGTCTTTCGGGGACAAGCTCTCTCTGCGCGCGGACCGGACATATTCCCTGTTTTTATCACACATCACTGTCATTTCCGTTTTGCGAAATGTGCAATGGACATTCTTGTACATGAGGTTCCCATCCCTTCTTTTCTATCTGGGCGGTTGCGTTGGTAGGCAAAAGATAGCATAGTATTCACTTATTTAAATAACTATATCGCAATGAGACGTACCCAAACTTGTCATGTCGTGTTCAATGCTGTTCGAAATGGTGGCGGTTGGTTGACCATCCCCTTTCGAGCCAAAGGTAAACAAAGGTGATAATTGGAAAAGGGGGACGGGTTCCCTTCAAGTAAAAAACACGGGGAGGCTACACTAAGTCAAAGGGTTGTGTATATCGAATGAGTGAAGTATTTCCTGTCAATAATTTCTTATCAAACGCAGAAATCATAATTTTCTAGAAGTGGCTAGGAATGATTTGGTTGACACCCAACGAACTTTTATATAGTAGTCGCGGGCCCTTAGCTCAGCCCGGTAACTATTCATAGAGAGTGGAGAGCAAACTGCAGTTGACGCCTTCGAACAATCAAGAACCCCGATCTGCCCATCTGAAGTGGACGATAGGAGGTAGATGTAGGTACGGCAGAGACATACAGTACGAGCACGTATCGGCAGACTGTACGGATTCGCTGCATTTTGAATAGTACAGCTGCCTAATAACCGGACATAGGTAGGCTGTCTAAGCTCTACGCTAAGGCTTGCTTTGCCAGGTGTAAGTGAGGGGATCACGAATGCGACTTGACGCCGAGCGTGCTACTATCTACTCACTGGAAGGCAAGCGCAACCGTAGTGCATATCTTTACCTTCGCAGTGTCGTCCCTCTGAAGCCGGAAAGTGCAGCCACATGCATTGGCAGGTGACAGCATTCCACTTCCGGAGTACCTTCCGGTGTTATGCCCCCCATTGCACCCGGACTTGCACGTATAACACCACTTTCCCCGCTTGCTCTTGCCTAAGTTAATTCAACTTTGGGTCGTACGGTTTCTCATCCGTTCATCTTTCTCAGAATCTCCTCAGAGTGAACTGACCTGCCTGTTTTCGACCTCACATCGTGACAATTTGTTGCCCAGTAAGTGACACCCTGCGTTGTTTGACAGACATTCTTTGTTTGGTCATCTCATCTGGCTTATGGTACAGTCACTGACAATCGGTTGACAGAGCAACCACACTAAAGCCACGCTAAATAGGCTCCGCTGAACGACGTCAGCGGTCGTTGTTATCACAAGGGTACATCGAGTAGTACATTAGCGTACTCTAACCGCAAACGTTCGTCCTCTTATTACTCTCCGCTCCGTCCGCTTGTTAGTCGTTCAAGTTCGCTTCGCCGCCGTCGGACAGACAACCCCGACATTCAACAGCAATCCTCCAGACCAATTGGTCGATCAATGATTACCATTCTTGTTTCATCGATTCATTCATCCCATCCGTTGTTTTCCATCCCATTCTTGTGACCTGCCCTTTTATCTGTGTGTCTCCTTTTTGCAACTGATTCTCTGCTTCGCTCGCACACGGAATAACAAACACTCATCACTCTGTCTTGTGACATCTATAGATGATCGAAAGCGAACCCCGCGGCTTTGGGAGGAGCCTTGAGCGAATCGTACAGGAACCGGAAGTCCACCATCAGCATCAACACCAGCATCAGCAAGCTCAAGAGCAGAACGCCCAAGTCGAAGACGTTCAGCAGCAGGTTCAGCGTCTCGATATCAGCGACAACAACGCCTACGAAAGAAACAGGGCCCGCGCAGCAGCACCTGAGCCCGAGCCGGTACCAGCATCAGCGGAGGAGGACGCCGGAGTCATCCGTGTCAGCGTCACCACTACGACTACCGTCAGCGACGCGGCAGCCTCAGGAACGACACCCACCGCTTTCAACAGTAATCACGGATACAACATAATACATCCCAGCGCATACGGCGTAACAAACGACAACATGGGTCTCGCATACAACGTCTACCTCAACAGCGGCAAGATTTATGGATGCAGGAACTGCAAGACCCATTTGGCTAATCATGAGGATATCATCAGCAGGGTAAGTCGCCTTCGCCCTTCCCTTTGTCCCTCTTTACCGCATTCCCCTCCCTCCCTCCCTTAACCCTTCCCCGTCCCACTTCCCAGGCCCTTCCATCAACCAACACCCTCCTCCTCATTCCTATTTTCCCTTCGATTCACTAACTTATTTTCGTCTTTCACCCAAAACAGAACTTCAGAGGCCAACACGGTAAAGCCTACCTTTTCAACAGCGTCGTCAACGTCGAGACGGGCGATGCCGGCGAGCGTAATATGACGACCGGCCGCCACGTCGTGCGGGACATTTTCTGCCGTCAGTGCAAGGAGGTCGTTGGGTGGAAGTACGACAAAGCCTACGAGCCTAGCGAGAAGTACAAGGAGGGCAAATTCATTTTGGAGGCCGAGTTGCTTGCCAATGTTAACTAGTTCCTTTTACCTGGCGGGATCTGGGGGTTTGGTGCGGATCTGATGTATGGATGTTGATGAGACAAGAAAGAGAGGTTGAGTTGGGTCCAGATGGCGCAGGACGAAACGACAGATGGGCGGAATGGAGTGACAGCGGGACAGATGGATGGATGGGATGGTTTATGACATGATACGACACGATACGGCACGGAAGGAATAACAAGACGATACCGGCATGAACAGACTACCTCTACATACAGCAGAAGCAGGGCAGGATCATAGGCAGCAGGGCACAGGCGGAATCATGGCCGCAGGGCGGACGCAGGCAAGCTTATAGGCACGCACGGCCCAGAGTTTTAAGGACATACTATGGAAAGGGAAAGGGAGAGAAGATTCAACTTGTTCAAGCGATCACTGTAAGTATGTGGCAGTGAGGATATTAGATATATTGTATTTTCGGTTGCAATTTCAATCACGTTCGAACGTCTTCTGCGTCGTTCGCATGAAATATGTTCCCGCTCTTAGGCAACCAGTGACCTGGAGGTAGTTATCTTTCAAGTTTAGAAATCGACTTCCTCTTCACCGCGGTGTGTGTTCATGAACACCCATCTCTTTGTCTCTTTGTCGCAGAATGACCCATTGCTTCGTGATCTGTGTGCACTTAGAACCATGACCCAGACCCCCTTCCTGCCGAGACATCAATCATCTCAACTGTCTTAATAAATCCGTCCAAAAAGTCTTCAACTCACACCCGACACTCACCAACCAGTAAGTTGTAGCGGGTGATAGAATATGATCATGTCTTCATCATTTGGCTGAAAAGGTGATGTACGATACGATACATCACCTGTATATGTGTGTATATATATACTACTGCTGCAAGAAGTGAACCACCATCGAGAGAGAGATCCTTTGTCGTCCGTGTCATCCGAAACAAACCCCGGAGCCAACCTATTGAACGCCTTACGTCCCTAAGGTGACCGACCAACCTGAACATGTATCACCATATCGACGAACAGTAATACCTTCCTTCCCTACCCGACATTGAAAAGCCCGCCAGACTAGATACCCTAAAAAGACATATACACAAAAAAAAAGCCAGTACAAACTATGGTCCCCTGCCCGTTCATCGTTGATATGTGTCAGATACGTTAATGTTACACCCTGCCATGACATGACATGACATGACACAGCTCTCAGTTATGCTCAATAGGCTCCTCGGGCAACAACTCCTCCACCTCCCTTACGCGGAGGAACTCGAACGGAGGCTGGACGATGCCGTTGAACAGGAAAGTAAAGTAGACGAGCAGGGCGAAACCGGCAACCTGCAGCCACTTGAAGGTTTCCCAGCCGAGACCGAGCGAGACGATCCAGATGAAGAGCGTGCGGCAGGTGTCGATGGTGGAGCGCGAAGTGGCGCTCACCGAGCGGGTTACCGAGAGACCAAAGAAGTTGAAGCCACTGTTAAACGGACGTGTTAGTGAGCGATTTCATCGGGATATTGGCGAGGAGGGAAAGGGGGGTGGATGGGGAAAGAACTTACCCGATGCTAATCATAATCAACACACTCGAGACGAAGACAGACTTGTACTCCCAAAACTGTCTCCATCCCTCCACCATGTCAAACGGCCCATACCTTCCAGCCTCGGTCCGTCCAATGGCAAAGTGCAAGATGACCATGCCCAGGAGCGTGACCGTAAAGCCGAAGAGGCCCTCCCACCCGACAACACGAATGGGCTCAATCGTCGACCGCTCCAGGATGTACTCCTCCAGCACAAACTGTGTAGCAGTGAAGATCTGCGCTCCAGCAATCATCAACACACCAATGATCACTTTCAGGGCATCGGCACCCACATCCGCCGCCTCCGCACTAGGATGTTTCGGATCCGGCTGAATCGCACCAGCCAGTCCAACGAGAGCCACGCCCACCATGACTCCCACCAGCGACAGCCACTGGAAGGCGTACAGCTTGCGACGCAGGAAAACAACGCTGAAGACGCCAACGAAGAGCACCAGCGCGCCGCGCGTCATCTGGTAGATGGAGGCCGCCACGAGCAGCAGGCCGGCGTTCATGAGGGTGGTGCCGCAGATGTCGCAGATGGCGGGGAGCGAGAGCAGCACGACACGCCAGCCGCGGAGGACCGATGGGCCGTCGTACTTGGATGAAGCAGCGGGCGAGTCGGTGAGAGGGGTGTGGGAGCGGATGCTGGCGTCGTCGGGAACATCGTCCTCGGCCGCGGCCGCCCGATTGTCGATGCGTTCGTACGTAGTGAATTTGGAAACGTAACGGGTCCAGAGTGACATGATGCCTACGACCACCCAGCAGCCCATCTCACCGACGAACATCTGGAGGGTCTGGATGACGGGCTGCTCGAAGTGTTTCCGCTTAAGCGGGTCAGGGTCGTCACAGTTGCGAACGCATTGGTTGTCCTATAGATGCAGCAAAACAGGATCACGGTCAGCATTGATGGATGATGGGAAATACCCTACTTTGAGAGCTGTGGATTCCTTGCCTGGTATTTGGTCAAGAGCGTATTGCACACTCCTGTAAGCAACATCATTCCCACCAGGAAGGGGATGATTGCCCGGGCGGGTATTATCGAAGTCATCGTTGTCGGTGTCTCTCTCTTCCCTTCAGCTAAGGTTTGGTGAGTTGATATGTCCGGAGGAAAGCTTCGGCAGGAAGGACTGGAAGGTCGAAGAGGTCACCTCTATGAACGGATGACCGGTTGACGGAGGGATGATCGGATCGGGGGGGACGGGAGGTTGATCAAGTGATATGATGCCAGGACTGATAACGATATCGGTAACCTTCCCTCTTGGACGATCAATGGGGGCGCTAAAGTATGCGCTACTGCGCGGAGAGGCTAGCTGCCTACTTCGGTGTGCCTGAGGTTGGGGATGATGCGATGCGGTTCTGCGTGAAGGTGTTTCTATGAAACACTTGGATTGGTTCTAGATGGACCAAAAGAACACCTTGAGGTTTGGCCTCGAATACTGGGTGAGTGTACGAGTCAATCCGTCCGTTCCGTTTCTTTGTTTTGTAGACAGTGCTGCCATGCCAGGGCGAACAGCCGGGTCGGGTGGGTGACAAACGAGGAGTGGAGCGGTGGGAGGGTGCGGGTCCCAAGGCTGACGTCCTCAGCAGGCATTCAGACTGCGGCACCCCAGATAAACGCCCGCTGATCATTTCCACAGCGGATATCCACAGGGCCTCTCAGTGGTGAAACGGAAAGAGAGGGCCACATTGAGGTTGGTCAATGTGGCTTGAATACGCCGGAAGAGGCCATCAAGGTGTTCAACTCTTGTTGAATTTCGATTGAGGTTCTCAAGCCACAATGGCCCAACCCCTTGATGCTTCACATGATCAAATTACTGCGGTGCGTCAACCCAATAATAACCACACGATTACGTAGGAATATCAACGTTTAGGTTTGTCATGTGCTGAGTGCCGTGCTCAGGGCAAACGACGGTTCATGGACAGCCTGGTGATAGATATATGGACAGATCCAGATATTCACCGCCTCACTTTCAGACCTTGTTCATGGAGTGCCTTGGGCTGTGAGATGGCGATCTCTCCTTGTGGGTTCCACATAGACTGTTCATACATATTACTAGCCGTAACTCTCTATGGTATCGTGTTCTGTGTTTCATGGCATCTTTTTATAAAGAAGGGGTATCGCACTCATTCTCCTAGCCCATACAACAACATAACAATGTTCAATATCATTTCCCAAACTCCCGTCATAATAACCTCCTGGGTTGTTGCCAAAACTTATTCCGTCAATTAACGCCTGGTCCGAAAGCACAAATGCCGAATGCCTCTTCCAACAACTCCCTATTTCTCAGGATCGCTTAGCTTCATCTTCTTCTCCTTGGGCTTCTTGTCTTTGATGTTGTTGTAATGCAAGATGCCCTTTTCCTTATCCTCCGCCAGCTTCTGCAGATCTCGCTCGCTGCAAGGAACACCTTCGATCCTCTTCACCTTTCTTCCCTCAAGCCACATGACCAGTCCACCGACCATAGCGATGATGCAGCCGATAGCCACCAGAAACCCCGTCGACCAACTCGGGCGGTCATACCGGTTCATGCCCCACATTATGCCACACAGACCGACCTGAGCCAAAGTATTGACAATCATGCACCAGATCATAAAGTCCATCTTCCAAACCTTGGTGGCCGGCGCTCGGATGCCCGTCAATGGCGCGTTGGGCATCTTCTCCTGCGGAATGGGGACGCACTGCTTAGGTACATCAGCCGGGAGGTTGTCCGGTCCAATATCCGGAGACAGCGCCTCCGTGCCAGGGAGACGATACCAGCTGCGGTGGATCCCAGCGAGCCTGAGAAGGCCTTCCTGCTGGCCCTTAATCCGGTACTTCATCAGAAGCCACAGATCTCGGAAGCGCCATGGCGCCAGTCCGAACGCAGTGACGCAGAACAGTCCCGTGAGAACTTGCGAGTCCCACTCAACCCATTTCCGCCTAGGCGAGTTGATGTCGTCGCATGTTGGATGGCACATGGCTGGCGCGGCGTTACAAATGAGGAGGAACAACATGCCACCCCAGGCAACAACGTTGAGACCGTAGAACGTCCAGAAGGCCCCCATCGGCGTCGTAAAGAACTTCCAGAACGAGGCGAGCCCTGTCTTGGTCGACTCCTTCCAGGGGTACTTGGGTGGAAAGTGGTAGCCATTGTCGAAGGGCCGTGTGTAATCCGTCTCTTCGGGCACGCGTTCTGCTGGTACTGCCAACGTGGCATCATCTGACGATAATCGAGCCGGCTTTATGTTGTCCGTTTGCTGCGAGACTTGGCGGCTGGCGAGTGACTGTTCTGATGTGACCGGTTTCAAGTTCTCCATGATTCGATCATTTGAAGAAGATAGGTTGTCGTTGGGGTGGGTTAAACCCTGGGCTGCGACATGGTTGCTTTGAACCATGGCAGCTTCTTTGAGAAAGCCCGTTGATCGAAGGGGAGTTGTTGGCGGCCGTGGTTGTCAAAGCGTGGGGGTTGATTAAAGATTATGTACTTGATGTTCGTAAATGCCCTGGCAAAATAACGGTGGTGTATAATACAAATATTGTAGACGGATGTATGGTGAGAAGATGTTGCTAGGAGATGGATCAGAGACTGATTATGTTCGACTGGCTCAACAGTCGGGTCGTATGAGCAAAGATAGATAGAGGGGGAAAGAGAAAGGATGGAGAAAAAGTGAAGGGGCGGCCAAGAGGTCAAGGGGTCCGACCGATAACAATCGTCGTCACAGTCAAATTATTGGTCCCAGAACCAACTTGGACCCTTCCTTCTCAAAGGGCACGGTACCTGCAACTGACGACACAGGAGGGTCACCTCACTTGCACCGAACCGACGCACCGACCTACCGCATCACTGACGACTGCACGGGCACGGGCAAGTGGCAGGAGAGAAAGCGAGGAAGGATGGAATTGACAAACCGCCCGAGGTAGCGGCGACTGGGGGGGCGATTGACGGGCCAGACCTCATCCCAACTGCCACTACCTACCTAACGTAGCAGCCGGAGCCAGCCTGGGAACCTGCCGAGCAGACACTCAGCCCCATCGTCACACCATCCTCCAGAATCGCACCCTGCCCAACAGAAATGTCTTGGGCCCTCATTTCATTGGTGAACCTTTCCCGTCGCAATCTCGGCCTGCTCACTGTGGGAGCTGGTGACGCCCGGGAAGGTTGGCTTGACGGGACCAAACACGGCCGACGTAGCAGTGATGTCATGACGCATGTGGCTGAGGCTTCAAATCACAGACTGGATCGGAAAAGGCGTTCAAATTCGTCGTGTCGAGGTGATGTGAAGATGATATTGAAACAAAATCTGAATCATTCCATCCAAACAAAAGTTGTCCATGCTGTTTGCCGTCTTTCGGCGGCCAGCGGCCCTCCATGTGTTCCAGGCTCGACTGATCTTCTTCAGTGACCCACTCCCGCTCTCCACTGTTAAGGGACCCCTGCTGATCGCGTCCCTTTCAGGCTTCTTTTTGTGGGTGAGACCCACTGAACATTTGAGTCTGGATCAACCCCGCCAAACAAAAATGAAAGAGACTGGACATCTTCAAGCTTCGTAGCTCGGACCACATCGACACGAACCTCTCACCACACCACAGCCAACCAGTCAGTCACATCAAACGGCAGAGCTGTCCAATCCATCGTCAGCATGTCGGCCGATCAACACCTCCAAGCTCTCACAAAGGTTGTGGTGAACAACCTGGAAAACCAACACGACTGGACCCAGGTTCAGAGACACAACCAGGACAACCTCCCCCGACCTCTCCTCTACGGACTCCCACCCAAGCGCCTCTATGTGCACCCCGATGAGCAGATCGAGATCATCAAGGCCGAGAAGGAGCTGAACGAGCGAATTCCCCAGGAGCCTGAGCTTGAATGGGTTTTGCCGCTGCACCTGGCGGAGAAGTGGTCCATCAGCGACTTTTCGGCCGTCTTTGATGCCATCACAGCCATCCCTCCCGGAGGTGAATCTGTGAACCCCAATGAGGATGCTCAGTGGCAGTTATGGAGGGGACCAAAGCGTGACAAGCGCATCTTGCTCGCGACCGTCCAGGATGATTCCACTGTCACGTATTACTGGATGCACAACGGCCTCGTGAAGCCCAGACAGAACTGAGAGGGTTACCTCTACCAGACACACAACGTTTCACATCCGTCAGTGTAATGTGGTGGTGTCTCTGTGTTGAAGTACTTGTAGATGGTTAGGCTATCTGGTACGCTTCGAATACTCTACCCATACCGTATGTCATCTTCGGCCCGGCAGAAAACATGCCTCTCAAGAATCAGGGCGTGAAGATCACCTTCTGCACCTTCATGTTATCAAAGAGATTATATCCTTCGACAGCCTCGGCAAGGGGCATGATCTTGTCGAACATAAAGCTATATACGACGGCTGGTCAGCATTTTGGGTCAACTTTGGCACGAACCACACCGATCAGTACTTGCCCAAACTTGTGCTGGTTTCTAGCCATCACCTCCAACGACTCCGGGAAGATGGACCGCACTGGGCACCGGCCCATCTGTACTCTCAAGTTTTTGCTGTTCACCGGATTAGCCAATCATCCCATCTACCATCATTCCACGAGCCGGGGAGCAAAAACTCACTTATACCCATCATTACCTGTCCACGGCAGATCATAGGCTCCCTGGACACCAATACTGCTAATCACTCCGAACGGCCTCAAAAGCTCATACGCCGTCTTGAGCGCCGGCCTGCTCCCGACAACCTCAACCACCGCATCCGCCCCTCTCCCCTCTGTCACCTCCTTAACCCTCTTCACCATGCCCTCCAATCCGACCCCGCCCTTCTCAACCTCCGCAAAATTCAACGGCTCCGCTCCCAACTCCTTCGCCAACTGAAGTCTGCTCTCCACGCAATCCACAGCAAACAGATGCTTAGGCTTGTACTCCAAAGCACTCACGACCGCACACAGTCCCACGGGGCCACAACCAACCACCACCACCGTCGCCTCCTCCGCCTTTAGGTCACCGGGCAACAGCCCAAACGCGTTCTTGGCCCCAAAGTACCCAGTTGGGAAAATATCCGCCATCAACACCAGGGCCCTCTCATCCTCAATCTCAGGCGGAGCCACCACCGCGGTCCCGTCGGCGAGGGGGGATGCGGACGTACTCGGCTTGACCGCCGTCCAGCTTGGGGGATCCAAAGAGCAAAGAGGAGGCGCAGCGGGATGAGAAGCCGTGGGCGCAGTAGAAGCAGGTGCCGCAGGAGACAGTGAAGGGGGCGACGATCTTGTCACCTACTTTGATGGTCTTGACGGCGGAGCCGACGGCGTGGGCGGTGCCGGTGAATTCGTGGCCCATGATGAAGCCGGGGGTGGAGGCTTCGCGGCCGCGGTAGGTGTGGAGTTCACTTTGAGGGGGTTTGGTCAGTTAGCTTTTACGGGACGTTGGATATGGGGGTGGGTAGAAGTAAGTCGATAAGTGTGGTGAGTGGGATGGTAGACTAGTAGCTGTCATGATAACATGGAAAAGCAAAAAAAAAAAATTTAAACAAGAAACCTACGAGCCGCACAAAGCAGTCATCTGCACCTTGACAATGATATCCCTGGGATCTTGCACTGTTCATTCATTCATACGCTAAAGTTAGCCAGCTTCACAAGAAATACTGTAGTGATGGTCATGATGATGATGATGATGTAGATGATGTAGATGGTGATTCCACTGCCACCACTCTAATCCATTTAGGAAGCCCGCGATTTTTATTTTCTGTTTCCCCAGACCTTTCTCGCTGGAGTTCGGAAAAAGGTGATGTGATTGATGGTTGGGAATGAGTGATGAAAGAGCAGGACATGGACATACACTCAGGAATCGGCCTCTCCTGAACAGAAACCTTCTTGGGTCCATCAAAGACCACGGCCTTCATTGTCTTCTTTGGTGGTTCGGTCGACATTTTCGATTCTTTTCTTGGCATTCGGTGATTGCTAGGTACCTAGTACAGGCCTACTCGTAATGGTGTTTGTTGACTTGACTTGAGCTCCGTCTGTTCAAGGAAATTGGCGACTAGATAGGTACACTTCCAAAAGTTGTGTTGTGTTGTAGAAAGAAAGATGGGCGATAATGTCTAGCTGTCGTATGTTGTGACCTTGCCATCCATATACTTGTAAGAGGAGATCGGCTTTTCCCCTCAACTTCCTTTCTTGATTTCATGCATCTCGAGACACTAGTAGTTAATAGTTATGCCCGCCAATATCCGATCGGCTCGATGGATTGTCACTGTCCCGAGGTTAGATACACCTCAGTACATTTGGCCACACCATTGATACTTACTTGGTGGGACTTGGCTTAAGAGCGACCTCGGGAGAACCATAGGAGGGAGGGGAAAATTCGGGGGTTGTGAGGGGTTGGATAGTACTTGAAAGTGGAGTAGCTCCGTCGTAGCATTCATTCAACATATCTTAACGTTAACTACAACACGACGACGTCTATAAAATGTATCGAACGGGTACTGATATTCAATAAATTGCTATATCGCAAAAGCTCATCGCTGGCACTTCTTTTCCCAAGTTGAAACTCATGACTTCTCCAATGTCCAATGTTCCAAAAACGCCCCGTGTCCGATCGTTGTATTTGTTCCCAATTGTCATTATCGTTAGGACTCATGCGATGAACGCCCCTGATCCAACTGTCAACGCCAAGTAGACAAACAGCTACATCAAAACCATTCTAGCAGTTATGTTCTGGTCTTCCGTCTATAAACGTATTCAAAAGGGTGTCGTTCTTCTTTTACTCCTCAGCAATGGCATCACAAACGCCAAGCATAGTCATGCCCAGGAAAGCAAAAAATATGCTCAAGTTCCGGTTATGGCTCAAACTCAAGCTCTCCCCAAAAAGTTGCAGCGCCACGCTGGTCATGATACCCGCCGTAACAGAAAACAGGCATCCATACGCTGTGCCGTTGATAGTGATGTTGCTACGCTTAGCAACCTTAAACCAGAGCACTGCAACCCCGGCGCCCACTGGCTGGCTGAGACCACCGAGCAATGTGGCCCAGACAATGGCCTTGAACCGGCTGTTCAGAGCCATGTACAGGGGCAGGGCCATAGAGAATCCCTCGGCAATGTTGTGGACGAACAGGGCCATGAAGACATTGAGTCCGAGTGAAGGGTTCACGTGGTTGGTGGCGTAAGTGATGAAGCCCTCGGGGAATTTGTGCAGAGCAATGGCGATGACAGTCTGCAAGCCAATGGAGAGGAAGGCGTTCGTCGGTACGTGATGATGGTGTTGAGCTTCGATATCCTCCTCTACCTCTGAACAGCAAGTCTCATGATCGTCTTGGTCGTAATGGTCATGGTGTCCATCGAAGTCGGCGTGGTCTGCGTATCCGACAGACGAGTCTCGGGAAAATGTTCTACTCCGTACCTGATATATGGGACTGTTGAGGGATTCCGGCACCTCGCCCGTCCCTACGGAGCCTCCGGAGCGTAGAACTGGGAAGGTGGCGGAACGTCCGGGATGAGTAGAGCGTGTACCAATGTGCCTGAAGCACTCCTGCCCGCAGGGATCCGTATATCCAAAACATGGGCCATCGCCATCGCAGTGAAGCTTGGTGTCCTTAACAAAAGATAGTACTCTGCTCGTCATCTGGCGTACCGATGGTCTTCTGCTTTGGATGCCAGTTGTGCTGCGGGCCTGCCTCCCAACGGTATGAGAATGGCCCAAAGAATTAGACCTAACTGGTAAATCGGCATGCGCCTCGTGGTCGGCTTCGGTTGGTAGCAACGGGGTTGATTCGGTCGCATGTCCGTTCACCTGGACCATGGTTGGTGTATCTGGAGATTCCGAGGATAGCGTCGCGACGGACTGTCCATGGGTACGGCTCGCCCAAGGCGGCTGGTGATGATGATCATCGTGATGGGCGTGATGGTGGGCGTTTGCGTGTGGGTTATGGGAATGGTCGCACCCAACAACGTGGGAGGGTATAAATCGGTGGAGGACTCGGGAGATGACCTGAATGCCGAAAAAGCCAGCGATGTAACAGCCCATGTTGATAAGACCCGCGGTCTTCTCGTCTCGCCCGTCTTTTTGGAGGTATCGTAAAGCAGATGGAAGCATGCTAAACAGGGCCGAGAATATCTGTACATCTCTCTGTTAGCTCATTGTGTTCTTTAAGAGTGAAGCCACCATCACCTGGTCCTAGGCAGACTAACCATAACCCCAAAACTCAAACTTAACGAGCCTGATATGAAGACATTGCTCTCTTGTATACTAAACTTGCTCTTTTTGTTGATCCAACGGATAGGGATGTCGACGCAAATAATGGTTGATCCGACAATGCATGCTAGATATTGTTGGTCAGCCTGGATACTCGAGGAAGCCCAACCGGTACGATCCGACAGTTCAAGGAGATGGTTACGTACCCAGGCCGCTCACAGCGGTCATGATCCACCCTCGGGTGTCATTGTCGATCCCGGTTGTAAGCATCGCGGGCGACATTGGCTCTGGTGGGAGATTGCCGAATTATTGTTCTACGTCGCCCGTCTGCAGTCGGTCTCCGCAGTCTCTTCTAATGGTGACCTCGGCGTGTGTAGCATAGAAGGAGAGGATGATGGATAACTCTGCTTGCGGGAACAGCGAAAGGTCGAGTAGCGTAGCTGTAGAAATCGTGTGTATATCGGTATGGGTTGAGGATGTCCAAGAAATAGGAGTTGGCGTTAACAGAAGTCGGATGGATGAGCGAGTGTCACCAGTTTGATAAAGACGGCGTTGGGATGGAAAAGGCGGCGAGGCAGGATCAGGCGGAGGCGAGAATCGACAGGTCGCGTTTGAGAACCTCAACGGCCACACCCAAGCCCAGACAATTTTATGACACAAGACAATCAACTGGAGCCTGCTCTTTGTCCCTTGTCGGCGGGTATGGGTTTGGCTTAGGTTGGTGATGCGGAATGGCGTTTGTAGATCGAAACTTGGGTCAAAGATGGTGTGGGCTAGTTTTGAGAACCTTGCTGGTTCACGATAGCCGCCCCCTGGATGAGCTGTTGGCAGTCGCAAAGGTAAGCAGGTGATCAGATTGGATGGAAGAAAAAAAGCCAATGGATCAGATTTTTCTGTCGGTCGGGAGGTATGGAGTGTAGCGCCGAGTGCGGAGAAGACAATGCAGGGCGGATGCCGGTGGAAACTTAGGTTGCAGCCTTGGAGGATTGTCGGCTGCAAGGAGCTGGCAGGTCGACAGGATCTGCTTATCTGCTACTGTAAAGTCGATGTTTGACGTTCAAAGTCGATTGATTTTGGAGATATCCAAGCTGAGGTTGTCAAGGCGAACAAGTGCGGCTCTCGCAGGCTTTTTAACAAGGACCATCCGTTAGTCGTGATAAGAAGCAGCGAAAGGGACAAGGATCGTTGATCAATGCCATCATAGGTCCCCTTCTTGGCATTGTTGACAACAAATCCCCAATCTTGACTTGGCCCACTTTGTCAAGCTCTTTTGTCCGCTGTCGTTGACCATTGTCCATTTTACGTGCTATTTGATCTAGCATCTTCTCTAGCCTCACATGGGCGAGTCAGGGCCCGTCAGTCGGACTTTTTGTGCTTCCAAGACCGAGAAGACTACGAGTACTTGTCCGTACCTCTAGGTATACCAAACCGTGATCCGTCGGGACGGTTGATAAATTGCTCCATCTCAGGCTCCCTGACAAACCTGTGTGTCTAAAGGACTGAAGAACATCCTAATTCAATCACTATGGCTATGCGCTGGATCAGATGAAGATTGTTTCAAGCCCATGTGTTTGTGATATGGTACTGTACGGTACAGTGTGTGGTTGCCGGTGGACACGTGGGGTAGATGTTGCCGACCTCCCCACTATCGCTCGTCGCCGTGTCACCCACCGGGGAAGCCGGGGTCATTGGGTCGGGTGTCCCTTGCTGCATGGGGCGGCCGAGATACCGCGGGAGCGCGGGTCGCAAATCGCGGGTCGCGGATCATGGATCGTGGTAAATTTTAGCTTTAGCGTCAGGCGTCTTTAACTTTGCACCTTCTCTGAATCTCATCACTACCGACCTCCCCTTGTGCGCAACCCAACCGACCGCAAGCAGGCCCCCCACCAAGAGAGACCTGCCCACCATGTCGAAGGCTACCATCGCCGTTATTGCCGCCGTGAGCGCCGCCGGTGGTGCTGCGGCCACCGCTGCCATGTTCTCCCTCAAGAGTGACAAGAAGATCGACACCCCTCTCAACGCTCCCGTCGCTACTTCTCCCAAGCCCGCCCCAGTCCCCGCCAGCCAGGTCTTCAGCGCGCCCGCCCCCGTTCCCGCTGCCGCTCCTCTCCCTCCTGCCGCCGGCAGTCCCAAGATCGTCGACCCCTCGGGCCTCTTTGAGTATGGCTTCCCGGGCCCCGTCGCCGACCTGGCGACCCGCCAAGGCTTCGTGTCCTCGTACGACCGGCGCAGCAAGAACCCTCACTGGACAGTCGAGCACATCACGCCCGAGTCCTTGTCCATCTCCAACGGCGACCGCAAGAAGTCCACTTTCCTCGAAGACGACGCGATCCCCGAAAAGTTCCGCGGCAAGCTCAAGGACTACTTCCGCTCCGGCTTCGACCGGGGCCACCAGGTTCCCGCCGCTGACTGCAAGTGGTCGCAGCAGGCCATGGACGAGACCTTCTACCTGTCCAACATGTGCCCGCAAGTGGGCGAAGGGTTCAACCGCGACTACTGGGCGCACTTTGAGGATTTCTGCCGTCGCTTGACGAAGCAGTACCCTTCGGTCCGCATCGTCACGGGCCCGCTATACCTGCCCAAGCGCGACCCCCAGGATAACAAGTGGTACGTCAAGTACGAGATGATCGGGCAGCCGCCCAACGTCGCCGTGCCGACGCACTTTTACAAGGTCATTTTCGCCGAGGACGGCAACAAGGGCGGAAACGTTGCGCTGGGCGCCTTCGTGCTGCCCAACGCCAAGATCCCCAACGATAAGCCGCTGCAGGACTTTGAGGTGCCCCTCGAGGCGGTCGAGAGGGCCAGCGGTCTCGAGTTTGCCAACAAGTTGCCGGTGCAGAGGCGGAAGAGGCTGTGTGCGGAGACGAACTGCTCCGTTATTGTGAAGGAGTATGCTCAGAGGCAGAACTCTTTTGGCAGGAAACAGTAAGGGGGTGGCGTACGTAATATTAGGAGAAGATAGAGAGACTTGGATCGTATAAGGGCCGGTATTGTTCAAGATATACTCTTGTACACACTCTTCTTCTTGAGTTGGAGAAGGGCTGTTGGGGATGAGGTCGATGGGGATGAGGTCGATAATGGGGAAGCAGCGGAGAACTTGAAGGCCCCTGCGAGGCTTATCCTACTTGCATATAGGCGGGTTGTGCATAGCATCATACATGAGCATAGTTTAGCGTTTATAATTATACCCATTTGGAAGGGAACAGGATCATTACACATTGCGATGCACCGTAAAATGGACACAACCAAGTCAGTGAACTCACTCGGCAAAGCCATGTTTATCGGTACCACACTTCGATAACTAGATGAGGCTTACTCGTCTGGGCTAGAAACGCCCTTAGACTGCGGAAGGGGTCAGAGGCGTTTCTAGACCTGACGAGTACCTATCATTACATCTTTTACATCTCTTCTCGGTCCTTTGAATGTCTTTCTCTCATTTCCCGTAATTTCCTTCTTCTCATGTCCCTTTCGAGACTCTCGCCACACCCTGTTCTCCCACCATGTTCCCCCCGCCCGTTGAGTCACCGAACAGTGATGGACTGCCCAACCAACCTCCTCAAAGCTAAATAGCATAGCCACAAAAAGCAGAGCTACATCTCTCCTCCGCAATTTCTCCCACCATCTTATCTTATACGCGTATAATTGCCCTTGCTCTGCTCCATCCTCAGGCTCTCTTCCTGGCTAGGCAGCGGCGCGCGTCTCCTGCCCGAAGAGTCATACTGGTCGTTACCACCGTCCGCGTGAGTAACTCCTCCTGGGATCATAACACCACCGGGAATCGACGGCGGAGGCGCGAACCCAGGAGGGGGCATAGGGAAGCCCGTGGCGCCCGGCGGGGGGATAAGGCCAGGAGGTAGCATTCCGGGAGGCGGCATCGGTGCACCAACTGAGCCTGGCGGCGGCGGCGGTTGGATTCCGTGCTTCTTCATCATCTCGGCGATCACGCTCGGGTCGGGAGGATTCTTCAGGTCAAAGCCGGGAATGGGCGGCGGGGGGACACCAGCAGGCAGACCGGGCATGCCGGGTATGTGGAACGGGAGAGGAGGCGGCACACCCGCGGTACCGCCGACGCCAGGGATGAGGGGCGGCGGCGGCATAACACCGCCGCCAGGAACTTGCTGGAGAGGAAGGCCGGGAATGCTGGGGAAGGAAAGACCGGGCATAGGCATTCCGCCGCCGCCGACGCCGGGCTGCCCCTTAATGGGCATCTTCTGGTCCACCAGGCCGTCCATCTCGTCCTCCAGCTCCTGCTCCTCTTCGACTTGCCGCATGTGACGGCCGCCGCGGCGGTCCCAGGTGCCTTGGGCTTCGGCGGCTGCTTCGCCGATGTGATACCGGTCGTTGAAGGACTCGGGAGCTTCGCCGGGTCTGGCACGGGACCAGAAGCGGGTGATGCGATCGTTGGATCCCGAGGCGAGGATGTGGCCGAGCGGATGCCAGTCGAGCGACCAGATGGCGAAGTCGTGGGCGTAAGGGATTCTATGGGCTGGGTAGATGGGTTGGGCAGGTGCAGAGGAAGGGTCGGTGCTGTCGTAAACTGCCGGAATCGGCATAACTGAGCCGTCGGGTGCGGTGTTCGGCTCGTCAAGGAGGTAGTGGAATAGCGAGCCGTCGTTGCCGCCGGTGCTTAGGAGGTTGGAGTGGACTGGATGCCACGTCAAGGTCGATATGTCCTTTTCGTGGCCCCTAAGAAGAGCGATGTCCCGCATCATTCGGAGATCGAAAACTCGAGCTGTTTGGTCCCTGGCCGAAGTTGCCAGGCAGTTTCCTTGGACCCTCTCGAAGAGGGTTTTGGTGATGGTGTTCTTGTGCCCGTGAAGCGTTGTCAGGCATCTACCTGTCCTGGGATCCCACAGCTTGACCAAATGATCTTTCGAACCAGAGACAATCAGGCCTTTACTGGGATGCCAGTCGCAACTTTTCGCGTCCCAACCATGCCCTGTCAAGGTCATATCCGTCGTGCCGCCAGCAAAGTCAAAGACTTTGAGTGTCTGATCATCTGATGCCGTGACGAATTTGGTGTCGTTGGGGCTGAAGGCGAGGTCGCGGATGGGATCTGTATGACCCCTAATGCTCTCGACGTTGTTGAAATTCGGCTGCCAATATTTGATGAAACCGTCGTGATCTGCAGACACGAGCCAGTCGTCGCTGTGGGAATATACTAGAGCACGAATGGCAGAATCATGGGCCTGCATGATCGTTTCGAAGTTGAATCCAGTGCCGTTCCAGAGCGTAAACTCTCCACTGCTGCTAGCAGTCAACAACCTTCGTCCCTCTGGCGTCCATCGTACAACATTGATAGGGTGCTTGATTTTGTTGAGGGAAGAGTGAAGATGCCGTGATGGTACCGAGTCTGCTGGGTTGGTGACTCGGGCGTACGGTGGTAGAATCTATATCAGAAGTTAGCGTGGATCAGTGCGTCTCATGGCTCACATTTGTCCTCACATCCACAATATAACTAGGACTGGGCCTTTCAACTTCTCCAGCATACGATCCTCGGTATCTCGGTTGCCTGTGGCGCATGTAGTGAACTACTGAAGCACCATAGTCGGTGACGGGGCCTGAGTCTGGGGTTAGTTTCTTCATTGGCGAACGGATTGTGAATAACAGGTGCTATCGAGCTGGGTGAGGGAAAGAATGCCACGGGGGCAGCCGGGGATGGTGATGTGAGACGATGGCAGTGGGGCTTGGGAACGGAGGGTGAACAAAAAGTGAGAATCAAGTGAGAAGGGCGAGTGTCAACGTGGTTGAGCGTATTGACGTCGGTGATGTCCAGGCCATGGTCGGCAACAAAAGCTACGCCATCACGGAGCAAACGGATAACTGTTGTCACCTGGGACGCCGTCATGATTGATGGACAGAATATTGTGATGTATGGTGTCTGGCAACATGGACTGTGTATACAAGGTATATTCGCTAGAGGTAGAACTTGGTCGTATCCGAAGCATGAACTTACGTCTGCCTCTATTTCGGGGCGGGCCGTCGTGCCCTCCTCCCCCTCCATAGCCCTTGTCATGATCTCCCCTGTGCTCGTATGACATGATAATCAAGCGACTGAATTCTGAAGCCGACGCGGTTGAATGATGATGACTTTTGGTCGCGTTTGAGGATGATGGTTTGTTTCTCCTAAGCGCGTGTAATTCTCTGAACTTTTGTGATGACGGATGTCTAAATGTATTCAGTTATTAGCTGCATGCTCCACCCTGAACTTTCAAGGACGGATAGACTCACTTCACTTGAAGCGTTATTTGTTGGAGTTGTGTTGGTGGTTTGGTTGGACAGGCCGCAAGGTGAACCAGTGATGAAGGTTGAATGGAAGTCGGCAGATGGTCTGTGCCCTGGTGGTTTCGTTCAGGAATGGCAGGCTGCAACAAACGCGGCCGGCATCCCTCTAGTGCACGGGCCAAGCCTTCCGCTTGAGTTCACAGCGCCTGCCTCCACTGCCCGTGTTGATGATGTTTCCATCCCAACCACAGCAGGAACGCTTCAGGTCAGCCCTGAACAGTTGCCCATCCGAGTTCACTTTACGAAGAGTCAATGCTTCCGGGCATGGGATGGAAGAGGGATGGAAGAGGCCCCGTCACTTTATCTTACCGTAAAGGTACTACCACCTATACACACAAGAACCACGGTTTCCAAGTTCCCTTTCCTAGCCCCTATTCTTCAACGGTTTGTGCAACAACAGACAGATAGAATGGCCTGGTTGGTGATCATGTTTGAGTATATGTTATGATCTTTTCTCTTGTCCAAGTTCTCTATACAAGTAAAGTATTCACCATGTGGATTACATATTCTTGCTGTGTCTTTCCTTTTATATGATTGTTACCGGTTAATGAAGTGGTAACGCACCACCCCTGCCCTTGCACCTGTCAATGCCCTGGATACTTTCACATGCATCGAGGGAGCTTCGACCTCCAATTTTTAAGGCTCCGTGAACTCCCTCCCTTTCCAGCTCCCGTTATTCTAGCTTCAAGTGGAAGGGGCATCTTGAGTTACATTCGTGTCCCACTTCTTCAGGTGAGGATGCCCAAACAAGGGTCCATTGCATGGAACTTGAAATCTCGGAGCGTGGAGCTAGAACGACATCAACGGAAATTTCGTCTTGGATTGTCGCTTCTGTTTCGGAGGCCGAGAGTTACAGACCTTGAAGACAACGAGGTTGTATAATATGGGCTCCAGGTACGGTAGCGGGCGGTGGCCGTTCATATAGCGGAACCGTAACCCCTTTTTGGTCCTCGAAATAAACAATCCCTAGTTCCCTGTATTTCAGGGTTGTTACTGGATTGTAACTGGAACGCCCGGTCACCAATTTCGCGTGCTGCTATAGCCATCTGTGTGTGTGTACGCTACAGAGCTTCCAAGACCACCTCTAGCTAGACGTAGCTGCCCTTCTTGTCTCTTGAACAACCTCAACCAACGGATTCATTCCACAGACTCCGTCCAAAAAGGTTCCCTTGCATAAAATGTTATCATACCCTCGGCCTCCACCGTGTCATTCCGAGGCTTTGACCGTTTAGAAAAACTTGATCTTCGGGGCAGGGTCCGGCGGCGTGCCCCAGCCAACATTGACAGCGACCTGTTCGTAGCTAAACTACGAGCAAGCGCCCAACCCGACTCGGCTTGGCCCGGAGATACACACACCCTTGCCACCTTCATTCACACTTTATTTCATGAATATACAATAACAACGACACCCCTTCCTCATCCCACGATCAAATTCTTAAGCTACAGACAAAGGGATATTTCACAACTCTTCAGCTACTTCATCCATTGCCGGCGTATGCTTGCAAGATGAGTAGTCCAACGACGACGGCAACGGGGCTTGACCCCGCTGTCCAGAACGACAACGTCATCCGTCGGACTCATGGTCCAGAAAACAGCAAAATTTCTAATGGCGAGGCCAATGGCTCCGTTGACAGCGATAACGACACCAGAAAACAAATGAAGAAGGCAATTCGGAGTAAATATCGTCATGTCGAGGCCGTTCACTCTCAGTCAAGACCATCCTGCCTGAGCCATGACACGACCGAGAGCCCCAGCTTCCTCGGGTTCCGCAACCTGATGGTCATTGTCTTGGGTAAATATCTTGACCCCTTTTCATATTTGAAAGATATCAGTTGGCTAACGGTATTTCCAGTTGTCGGCAACCTTCGTCTCATCATTGAAAACATCCAAAAAGGTTGTGCCATCTCCTAGGAAGCTCACTTTAACCAGTCTATCTGTATTAGATCAGACAGCTAACGTCCCCAACAGTACGGCGTCCTTATCTGCATCGGCTGCCATGACTTCCGCAAATCCGACATCAACATGGGGCTGCTCCTCTACTTCCTGATCCCCTGCCACCTCTTCATCGCCTACATCATCGAGTACTACGCCGCCGTCCAGGCCCGTGCTGAGCGTAATGCAGCCAGCGAGGCCAAGAAAGGGGAGGGGAACCACCAAGACGGCACCAGCAGCCCGACTGAAGAACAGCACCGCAAGTTCCAGTCCACCTGGAAACTCGTCCGCCTCCTCCACGCCATCAACGTGACCACCGCCCTCGCCCTCACCTCGTACGTGGTCTACTACCATATCCACCACCCTTTAATCGGCACCCTGACGGAGGTGCACGCCATCGTGGTCTGGCTCAAGACGGCCTCGTACGCATTCACCAACCGCGACCTGCGCCACGCCTACCTGCACCCGGCCCGCGGCGAGCTCGACGCCTTACCAGAACTGTACGCGCAGTGCCCTTACCCGGAAAACATCACCATGGGCAACCTCTGTTACTTTTGGTGGGCCCCGACACTGGTCTACCAGCCCGTCTATCCACGCACCAACAAGATCCGCTGGAGCTTCGTGGCCAAGCGATGTGGCGAGGTAGTTTGCCTGAGCGTGTTCATCTGGTTCACTTCGGCGCAATACGCTACTCCTGTGCTGCGCAACTCGCTGGATAAGATCGCTTCGCTCGATATCCCGAGCATTGTCGAGCGCCTGCTAAAGCTGAGCACCATTTCCTTGATCATCTGGCTGGCGGGCTTCTTTGCGTTATTCCAGAGCTTCCTGAACGCGCTGGCGGAGGTGATGAGGTTTGCGGACCGGTCGTTCTACGATGAGTGGTGGAACAGCGAGAGCTTGGGCGTGTACTGGCGCACGTGGAACAAGCCGGTCTATCAGTACTTCAAGCGCCATGTGTACTCACCGATGCGGTCGAGGGGGTGGAGCAATGGGACGGCAAGTTTGGCCGTGTTCTTTTTGAGTGCCGTGTTGCATGAGTTGTTGGTTGGTGTGCCTACTCATAACATTATTGGTATGTCCTCTCTTTTTTTTATTTCCTTCAATTTCACAGTCGTTGTTAGGACGATCATGTTTAACTGACACAAATCCCAACAGGCGTCGCTTTCCTCGGCATGTTCCTCCAGTTGCCGCTCATCCAGCTCACCAAGCCCTTGGAGAAGAAGACGTCTCCAAACGGCAAGCTGCTGGGCAACACCATCTTCTGGGTCTCCTTTACCATCTTTGGTCAACCTTTTGCCGCCCTCATGTACTTTTACGCGTGGCAGGCCAAGTATGGGAGCGTAAGCAAGATGGCTACTATGCAACAGCTTGTCGAACAGGGGCAGGGGACTTGCCCTCCTCTTGGTTAGTTGAGTGTGGTTGGCTTTATTTGATCGCTTGGGGGAAGAAAAACACGGGGGAAGATAGATACTGGACATAATCAAAAGGGCAGTGAAATGAGATTCTCAGTTGGTGTTCAGGCATCATCTGTATGAGGTTCCTTGATAGACCGATTTGCTTCAGCCATGGTGTTCGAGGGCGTTATACCGGGGCTACGATGTTATTGTGTACGTAATAAACAAGGGCAATATGGTACGGCACCGTTTTCTTGGGACTGGTTGAACTATTTGATTTTGATGAAACTTTCTGGATCTATTCTTTTCATCCTGTATATCAAGTAAAGAGACAACATGCGAAAAGCAATGGCTCCCTTTCAAGAGCACCATCCCAAAACCAGATGTCCAAATCAGGGAACAAATGGAATCTTGGTTCCCACCCTCCTCCGATAATCCACATACTCTTGCCCAAAGAACTTAATCAAGAACTCCTCCTCATGCCTGATTCTCGAACTAAAGAACTTCCACAGCACCGCCGCATAAGCCACGAAGCTAACGGCATTGCCCATAGCCATCTGCGTCCCCAACGCCCACCAAAAGAACCCAAAGTAACTCGGGTGTCTGAATTTCCCATATATCCCCGACGTCACCAGCACATGCGCCGAGCTACGCTGGCGCTGCACCAAGTGGTTGAAGCTCGGTCCTGCCTGCACCATGGCCACACTGCGCACCACCTGGCCGATGACTGTCAGAGCCAAACCAGCCAGACACAGCAGCGCGCCGGTGCCGAACGGCGCCCACGCGCGGTTCGGCCACAAGATGTTGGTCAACAGACATTCGAGGGTCGCGAAGCCGTGCGCGATGGCGTAGCCGGGCCAGTTGGCCGTCAGCAGGAAGGACTTGACATCGGCGGCGCGTGTGTTGTAGGCGGCTGTGGTCCAGAACTCGAGGAAGTGGAAGGTCGCGAGGGCGGCGAGAAAGAAGGGCAGGCGCCAGAGCGGGCTCGATGTATATAGAAGGGTTGCGCCGGTTGCGCCGACGCCGATGGTCAAGGCGATACCGAGGCAAAAGGAGCGCGTGGCGATGCCAGCTAGGGACTTGGGTTGGTAGGGGAAGTAGACTCGGTCGTTGACGAGGTTGGAGTTGGAATTTGCGCTGGTTGGGCTATCGGTTGGAAGGGAGAGGTCAGCTTCTTCCGTAGAGTCATGAGTAGTGGAATCGGTAGCGGTGGTGATGTTGATGTGGGTGGTTTGTCCGCGCGAATGCCGACGGTTGTGGGTAGATGGACCACCACTGCGACCAGTAGCCAAAGGCATCGACGGCGAAGGTATTGACGGAGATCCAGACATGGTAAACTAATCTGGTGATGTAGTGCAAAGGAGTGGGGAAGGTGGGCAAGACACTTTGGCGACAGCGAAGTGAGAGGTAGCAAAGATACATATCATATGCTGGCACCGCACCCGGGGACGGCAACGCCGCAACAGAGAACAATGGCAAGAAAACCAAACAATAGAATTTAGGAGAGACTTACCCATCTTGCGACCACTGGCGCACGTTGGGTGAGGATTCCATTATTTCGAACGCCTGTCAATTGCAGGTTTCCGGGTGCGGAAGAGCTGATGGTACGTATTCGTTGAAAGGTCGGTCGGGATGCGGTCGAGAAAGCGATTCGCGATTCGGTCAAGGTTGAGGTGTTTGTAGTCGTAGATATTGTTGTTGCGCCCCCACCATTTCCTTTCTCATTGTCGTCTGACACGCCAACCGATTTCCCTCCCTTGCGTCAAAGGCCGGCACAACAAAGTGGTGATGTTGGGAAGATGCGAAGGTGGAATAACTAGGTAATATCAGTAAATATCAGAACTGCAATGCACTTCCCTAGGCTCGGTCGACTCGGCCCCGGATGCCCGTTGTGCCCCCGCCTCGAACCCGCTGACAGCGCTGCGTACAGGGGCCGGGGTGCTGTGAACGTTATGACGCAACGTGGAATCCCTGCAAGCAATTCCAGTCCCATGGACAGGGCATAGCCTGTCCACTGTTTACAGAGCCCCTGACGCGCCTGTGAGGTGCCCTGAGGTGCTCCTAGAGAACGCCGTATCGTCCGGATCCCTGATCGCCATGTCCAGAAAAAGGGGTCTCAGGGGTGAGTTGGTTGGATGGGTTCCATCCAAAAACATGGCGTTCCCTCCCGGGGCCGTCTTCACCTCAGCTTAACGTTGGGCTCTGTGCCTGAACAGACGGTGGACGTATGCTGAACACTCCCAGAAAGCACATAGCTTATTGACCTTGCAGAGAAGCCAGACGTCCCACTAAAGACCGCCCTGGATTCTGAAGGACGACAAGATCAAGATGAGCACGTTGACCCAACCCCAGATGAAGGGGATCCACGTCGACATGGTGAATGCGCCCGCCTTGTAAGTAGCTCCCACCACCAGCCCAACAAGACTTCCGGCCAGCAGAGCCTCGGCGCCAGCAACAGCAGCATAGAGCAAAGGGACAAGCCAAAGGAACTTCCAGTTGGACTTCTTCTTGCCCACTTGCATCATGAGGGCGATGCCGGCAGCGCCGAGGTGGACAAGGCCATAGATAATGAGGGTCCAGAGAAGCGTGAAGCGCCACATGTCCCCGAGGTCGTAGAGGCTGTACGTGTCATGTTGAGGAGGCCAGTGTAGTGAGGGAAAGGGAGGAGTAACATAGCCAGCTGGTTTATCGCGCCGGATGATACTGCAAGTATGGTTGTTAGCAGTCTTCAATACACCACATTGGGGAACTAGTCAAAACCCGTACGAGGGAGTCTCCATGGGAGATGATGCCGGTTCCATTGAGTTGCAAAGACAGAGCCTGGCCAGATGTTGGCTATTTTGTGGTGTGTAATGTCTAGTGGCATGAGATTGATTGGTGTAAAGCCTGAAAAGTGGCTGGCTTGGTTGATGCTGCTTGTCTGATGGTATTGGATAGCCTGGATGGATTCAGTAGGTAGTCTGGTAATGTCTGGTGATGTTCTTTGGGTTTGGCTGTGCTTGTTGTCGTTGGCCTTGTAAGAAAAGTCCCGTTTGTAACCATTCGTTACTTACAGAATTACAGGTGCCAAGGCCAATAACCGATTACGTTACGGTAAGGTAACTGACACCCCGACTATTCGATATGGGGCATCCCCGTGTCATGGAGCAGCTGAAATGGGGGCAGGAAGGAAGATCGGGTCGGGTTCAGCTGGAGACGGAACTCACTTGCTGGAGCCCCAGAGACGGGAGCCTCCTCACTCCCTACCACGTAATTCTAGTTTCCTCCTTTCAGTACCTCGGCCCCGGCAAACAACGTCGGTCACAACCTCCCCATCTTGAATGTTTCTTTCCGGTTGCAACTGACATGACATGGTTCCGCCGTGACTATCATCTCGATTAGTTGTCCATCGCTGATATTACATACCGCCGCCCCATTAATCTCTAATATCCGACGACGCATTGACAACGACTGCGACTGCGACGGCAACGACGACGACGAGCACGACGATAACGGACGGCAAGCGACCCATCCACGAAGCACGCCATGTCGGTCGAACGACTTCTGACCAACGTCCTTCGGTTATACCAGGACGTCCATGACGATGATCGCACCGAACAGTTATACTCAACCACCACCACGCTGCTGACCCACCTCTCCAACCCGCTCAACATCACCGTCCTCACCTCACAACTGCTCAATGCGCCGGCGATATGGGAACGCGGCGATGGAATGAGGGCCTGCTATCGCGTCATCAGCATCTTCAACAGCGCTGCCACCCACGTACGCAAAAAGGAGTTAGAGGCTGCCAAGCTACAGGAGCAAGCCAAACACAACAAGCAGCCGCCTCAGCCACTTCCACTTCAGACGCACCCGGCACTGCATGGGCCGCCCGGGTCGCGAGGGTCGCAGGGCCCGCCGCCAGGTTCGAGGGGATCTCAGGCAGGACCACCGGTGCCACAGGCGCCACGCACCGGTGGTGGGCTGTCGTGCGATGACTGGGTATCAGCCGTCCTCAAGGGTGCTGACGACAAGTCCAGCAGGTGGCAGCATCTGCTTGTCTTCTGCGGCATCCTCCTTGGCATGACAAGTCAGAAAGACCCCAGGAACCGCCATGGCCTGAGCTACTCGATGCGCAATACCGTCGAGGAGGCCATCGTCACCGCCGTCAACCTTGCTCTCCGTCCCCATGAGCAACCACACGGGCAACAACGCGAACTAGAGCCCCCCGCTCCCCCAGGCCCGATAGCCCTGGCCCTTACCTACGCTTTCCCGTTACTCTCCAAGTCGTCTCGCCTTGCCTTGGACTGTGATGCTATTGTGCCCGTTGCTCTGAATGGCATGACTGGAGCAGATGGCCTCCAAGACGGCCTGTTCCTTTGCACTATCGATGGAGATCTCAAGCAGTCAGGAAACCATTTTACCTGGCAGGAGAGTTCGCCGTCTGCCCTTCTTCTCCGCCAGCTTGAGCAAAAGCCTCTCGTCAATGGTCTTGGACCTCTGTCAAAGGTTGTTGGATTTGCCATCGAACATGCGCGTGATGCCAATGTTGTCCTGCAAGCTCAGAACGACCTGCTCACGTTCACCCAAAAGCTCTTGCACGAATGGGAGGCTAGCAAGCTCTCGGAAATCGAAATCTCCGAGGAGGAAGTGTACCTTACCCAAGATACTCTACAAGGTCCTTGGGTGGCTCTGTGGACACTCTTGAGGAAGGTCATGTATGGCTCAGTTGCTGTGTTGCAGACCATTGTGGCTCGCAGCCTGCTCGATCCTCGGATGAGGAATGATACCATGGCACCCGTCGTGGCTAGCAAGACCCTCAAGGCCCTCCGCTACCTCTACTTCATTTCGTCTCGGAACGGAAGCGATGCCTTCCAGGTATACACCTTCACGTACCTTACGTCCGTTGACAACCTGGCGAGGTACTCGGACGCCTGTGCCGCATTTCTACGCGATACGAAGCCACTTAACCCGGGCACCATTCCTCCACATCCCCTTCACAGAACCCTGGACTTGTTCTACCTGAACGTTGCCGAACACCTCCCGCTCAAGCTGACACCTGAGGACTGCGACTCGCTCATTGTGCAACCGGCCATGGCCTACCTGACTCACTCAACTCCCCTCTCGCCACGCATGCTCGAGTTGTTCGAGGCAGCACACAGCGCTGTCCTTTCGGTTCTCTCGTGCCCACACAACGCACCCGTCACCGTAAAGCTCGCCCCTTTTTATGCCGAGGCTCTGTTCTCGGCCTTCCCCACTCACATTTCACCGCGCCAGTTCCGCCTGGCCTTCAAGACCTTGATGCAGATCCTCTCTCCCCCGTACCCCATCTCGTCAACCCACCCGCAGCTGGCTGAGACACTTTTAGAGATGGTCCGATTCCGCATAGGTGTTGCAAGCAAGGTGCCATTGCCGCCTCCTGAAACCCAAGTCCAGTCGGGCACTCCCGAGCTACCCGTGTCTGAGCAGAGTACCTTGGTGATGACCTTGATAGACTCTTTGCCGTTCCTCCACCTCAAGATCTTTGAGGATTGGCTAACGTTGGCCGCTCATGCTGTGAACCAGATCGAGGACGTGGCCATGAGGGAGGCTGCCAAGAGACGGTTCTGGGAGATTTTGGTCAGCGGAGAAATGGACGTCGAGAGATCGGCTATTGGTGTCGCATGGTGGGGGACAAAGGGAGGCAGGCAAGCCGTTCTCTACGGATCTCAAGGAGGACTTCCTGAAGTGCCCATGATGAGTGGTGCCATTCAGAACAACATGGACCGAGCCAAGCTCTGATTGTTCTTGTCCTGTCTTCTTTCTTGCATATGGAATAATGACATGTTTCTCTCTCTCCCTACGTCAGTAAAAAGCATCATGGAAGTTTCTCAGTTCTCAAAATAATACGTCGATACCCCCTTCTTCTTCTTTTGCCAAACCAGCAGTCTGTAGTGTTCTCGCTTGTCCACCCGCTAGCCCGCGGGCTTACGCGGCTGGTCGTAACACTTTGCTCAAGCTGATACGCCTTGTACTCTTTTCTTGTCCAACTGCTCTTCTCGTCTGCTTCTCGAACGAACAACATCTCAAGTCGCAGTTGCGTCAATGGATGAAGGGCGTGACAGCGTGGCACGCCCAGCTTCTTAGTCTAGTAGGGCAGCGTCATCAGCAGACTAACCTCTTGATCCTATCGATTTTCAGCATTGAAGCCCCATGAGGCTGGATTGATGACCGCTTTGCTTGCAATGCCAAAACAACATGAAAAACTTGGTCATGTTTCTCGTGAGCAGGATAACGACAACCATTCGAGAAGCGCGTATCTTGCCCACATACACCTACAGAAAACTCACCGTCTGATCCCCCCAACGGCGGTAGGTGGTACACCGACCGAGCCTTTCATTTCCCTCCCCACTCTTGTCCAATTACGGGACGTGCAGAGATGATACAGTTCAAGGTTGCACCTTCCCTAACTTCGCAAAACAACCACGCAATCTTGTTCTGTCGTTGTCTCTAATCTCGCTCTTTCCCTCTCTTTTTCTCTTCCTTCGCAGCACGCATGGCATCTCATTTTCGGTCATAACATCGAGGTGTCGGAGACGAGGACGGAAGCCATGAGGGAACCACATGGCCCTGCGGCCGCCCTGTTTCTGTTTCTGACCGGTTGTTTGTGTCCGCGCGGCAAATTGTCTCGGATTCTTTTCTTGAATACGACGAGGAGGAGAAAAGCGGTGGAAAGGCAATAATGGGAAAGGAGCAGATTACGCAGGCTTTAGTTTGGTTACCTCTATCACATATACCACCATACACGACAGATACACCTTCGCTTCATACTTTACCTACCTTTCGATGTTGGACTTGAGGAGGGTGGGGGAAAATCGGTTGGAACGGGAGGTGAGCGGAAGAGAAGAAGAGGAAGCATCATTTCGTGCTGGAAGACAAACAGAAAGTCAGAGACACATTACGGTGAGGCAACTGGGCTACAATTGAATGGCAAGACCGAAAGGCAGAGCGAGTTAGTGGATGGGGAATAAGTACTCTGAGCTTCCACATGAGGGTACGCCAGAGTCCAGACGCCGAAAGTGTGGGACAAGTTACATAGCACGATCACGATAACCAGCCGCAAGGCGATGGGGGAGGAGGGAGGGAGAAGGCCACGTCGAAATCGGCTCATTCTCTCCTACCGCCCGCCTTCTGAAGCCCTTGCCGAAGTGTCTCCGGTTACCTCAACATACCTGAGAAAAGCTGGATGGGCGGCAAACAACCGAGGTGGGGTTGGATCGTGGAAAGGCAAAAAGCGGGAAGAGATGGGTATGATTGTGGTTTCAAGGAGTGAGGGAATGGTTGCGGTGGTGTTGCGCGGGATCCGTCGCCGTTCTTTTTGTGTACGGTGGGGAAAGAACTTGTTTGGTTAGGGATGAAAGCGTTCGAGGAGGAGAGAAAGGTGGTGAGGTTACTCGGCAACTTTTCTTGGGTGGGAAAGAGGAAAAGAAGAGCAAGGAAGAGAAACCCCAAAAGGACGAGAATTAGGGTTAGAGGGGAGGAAAAAAAGTATAAATATCAGGACCTCGCCGGGCTGGAAGAAAAAGATGTAGAAGAAGAACATCGAGAGTCTTTTTTCCTCGTCTGTCTGATAACTCTATAGCATTCTACTACAATCATCACTCAACCACTTTTCTTACCCACCTCGCAATTCACCCACCATGTCGTCCTACGAGAACGTACGTTGTCTCTTTCTCTTCACCCTAACCTCTTCATCTTCATTTTCATCTTCACGATCATGATCACACAAGACACATCTTTGCTAAGCCTCACTTCTGTCTTCTTCCTCCATCCCAACAGACTCGCGAGGAGACATTTGTGAGGAGACCCTAATCTCACATCCCTTCATCCCAACCGTCTTTATCCTCCTCCGTTCTCATCATACAACCCGCTCCACTATCCCCAACCCAACCTCACCAGTCTATCCACACAGAACCCCAATCACCACAACCATATCATAATCTACCGCACCAGACACCCCTTCCTGCCCATTATCACCGTCAATTCATCTTCTAATCTCAACGAACAGACCTCTGGCCAAGACACCACCACCGGTGGTACCACCTTCCCCGGTGACGAGCAAGTTCCCAAGGACTCCACCACCACCACCGACACCTCCAAGAAGGACGAGTCTTCTTCCAAGGACGAGTCCTCAAAGGACCAGAAGCCCGAGGAGACGGAGGCTTCGACCACCACTGCTTATAGCAAGAAGAAGTACCAGTCTGGTTAAGACTAGGTCGATAAAAGGGGGTGGAGTGGGCGATGGGGTTGGTATGTTGCCTTTGCCTACTCTAGTTATGTCGAAAGATTGGCTGCTGATGATGATTAATCAAACCAGTTACATGGCTACCATAGCCACAAAATCCCAGGTTGGCATGGGGGGTACCGATACCCTTTTGGTGGTGGTGAGGTTGACTGGGAAAATGGATGTGTTGATTACTGGTAGAGTGGTGTGAACGTATACCCAACCGAGACAAGACAAGACGACCAACACTAAGAAGAGGCGGAACGAAGGAATGGCAGAAAAAGAAAGAAAGACAGGGATTACAATCGCTTGCAACTAATGGGGATTTATTTTTCCTCGAGGAACTTGGTTGGTTAGGTTCGTTGTTATCCGGATAGACAAGACACCCCGCCGGAGCGTGAGCGAGGGAGCTTTGATCAAGTAGACAGACGGCAACAGAGCTGGCTGAGCAAAGAATACATCTCCATGGTTGCCCCCCCTCCCTAACATGTCAGTACGTTGGCTGCGGTGTTTTGGCTGAGCTAAAGTTTCTGTATTGTCTTTTGAAAAGCAGACGCTTCACGTATAGTTCTATAATACACGGCAAGCGAAACTGTTTGTGACCTTTATTTTTATTCCTTCCAAAACGTCGTAAACCATAATGCCTATTTATTCATCCCTGCGATGTGCACAGTCACTAAGCCACATAATGAAAAGGGTATCAATATTTCCGTCAGCGTTCCCGTCTATCTCTGTCTTGTCTTCTTTTGCGGTAACATAAACTCCTCGTTGTAAGCCATTCACTGAACTCGCCATGTGTCCTACGCTCTGGCAAGCTGCAGGTCCGACCCCTCGGCATCCTGGCCCATTAACAGCTGCATATCGGCAGCCCAATCTTCAAAGACAGGCGGCGGGTGTTGGGGTGAGAACGGGTCTCCATGGTCACCAAGCCAGAAAGGCACAGCGCCAGGACTTCCGCCATCGCTAACTGGGACATTCGTGAATTGCTCCATCTGAGGGGGAGGGGCAGCGCCAGCGGTGGTGAATCCAGAGTGGACATCTCCTTGCTGAAGTCGGGGTTCAAGACTAGGATCGATAGCATATCCCAGCTCGTCGACGCCCAAGTTGGTAGCATTCGGGAATGGCGCCATGGCTGCCTGTTCCTCGCCTGTGTGCAATTGAGGTAACTGCAGAAGCTGCAGCTGCTCTTCTTTGATACCATTGTTACCACCATGATCATTCTGAATATGTCTATCCAGATCAGCATGGCGGATGAAGCGAGTGGTGCATCCGTGCACGGGGCAAGCAAGGTCACGACTGTCCAGCAAGGCCTGTTGAGTTTGCTGAGCTTGTGCGACCATTAAAGGGACGGGATACAACTTGGGTGGACGCTTCTTGCCAAGATGCACATGAAGAACATGCTCCTCCAGCTTCACCCTGGTTGTAAATCCCTGACCACAGCCCTCTTCCGCAAAGTTCCAGTCTGCAATCTCCGGGGCCTTTGCATCGTAGGTATCAGTCTGTCCGCAGACGAAGCGATGGCCTTCGTGGGCAGACTTGATATGCGTGTTGAGGTTAGAGACACGCGTGAACTTTTTGTCACAGCCCTCCCAACTACAAGCGATGGTCTTTCGATCTTCGACCGTCTTGGCTGAGTGGTAGAGCTCGACGTGGCGCATCATGTCGTTTTGTGTACCGCATCTGACACCGCAGAAGGCGCAGTTGTTGTGCTCCTTCTTCATATGAGCTTGAAGCAGCAGCATCGTGGTAAATCCGACACGGCGGCACCCATTGTCGTCACCCTCTGCCTCGGCGTTGCATTCGTCACACCAGAACTTGAGATCACCATGCTCACGGTCTACGTGCCTTCTCAGGGCACTCGCAGTGTCGAAGCCGGCGTCGCATCCATCGTTACCGCATGGGTACGCCGATTGACCTAGATGGGCGGTTCGGATGTGTCTCTGAAGGGTTTGGTGCTTTCGGAAGCTCTGGACACAGTCCCCGTAGCCGCGGCAGCGGTAGCGATCGGCGCCCTCGTGGACGAGAGCATGGCGGCGAAGTCGAGTATTGGTCACGAAGGACTTCCCGCAACCGGGCTCGGGGCAATTGTACTTTCGATCGTTGGTATGGGAACCCTTGATGTGCTGGGACAGATGCTTTTCTTCGAGATAGTCTTTGTCGCAGTCATCGTAGGGGCACTTGAACGGGCGATCGTTGGTGTGGGATCGGAGGTGGGCAGCAAGACGGGCAGGGCGGTTGAAGGTCTTGGTGCAACCGGCGAACGTGCAACTGATGGTCTTGAGGTCGGAGGGGAAGCGGCGCGAAGCACGAGTCGTGGTAGTGTTGATACTAGTTGCTGCTACCGTAGTCGTCGGGCCGGCGTAGGTAAGGGAGGTGTTGGCGACCGAGGCGACCGAGGCCGAGTCAGGGTCGAGTTCGGGGCTGTCGTTGCCGTTGTCGTTGCCGTTGTTATCAGCTGTCGCCTCTGCTGCACCAGCGGGTGATTGCGATTGCGAGGTCGAGCCTGGTCCCTCTCCTGGTGCCTCTAGCTGCTCGTCTTGAGAGTGTTGTTCCTTCTTTTGCTGATAGACCCAATCAGTAGCTCTTTTCTTGGACGACTGGACTTGGGCATGGCCGGCGCCGTCATGGCCATCAGGGCCCTCGTTGTCCTGTTTCCGCTTCATTTTGTGACCTGCCTGGAGTAGCAGCACTGGTCACCGTGGCCTGCTACCCTGGACTTTGTTGCAAGCTCCGAGGTTGAAGCTCCAACATTGGAGAGAAGAGCTCCGAGCTTGGGGGGAATTCGCTTGGATTGGAAATTTTGGACTTCACATTTGTGACGGAACCTTTGCATTGCACCTGCCGATTGGACTTTTCGTCCGGGGTGGGTGTCCCTGCCGCTTCAAAAAGTTTATTTGACCTTCTTTCCGCAGCTGAGGTTCCAGCGCCGGCAGGCAACCGGAATCTCGCAACAATTCACAGGCTCCGACAAGGACTCGATGCCCCATTGGCCCCCAACCCATGTCCTTTCCAGTTTCCCTGTCTTGGCGCGGTTCAGCCTTGCATAACCACCGGCCCCACTCGAATTTTCTGTCGTCCTTTGTCAGCCCTTCGCCTTCCCTCACCACCCAGCGCATTCAGTCACGGTTGGCAAACACGTCCAGTCTTCGACCTCCACGCGCTTTTGGGTGACCCAACTTGGCGACATACTTGTGCAGCTGCAGCCCATATCCTACTATTTTTTTTATCCTCAATCAACTCCAAAACAAACACAACCAAAATGTCCGACTACGGTGACCACGGTGACGATGATCGCGAGCCTATGTACGTTTCCCAACGCCACCTACCCAGTTACTGACATCAACCTCTACACACCCACAATACCGCAGCTCATGCGCAGAGCAAGAGATGCTAACAGGTAGACGCCAGCGATGAGCCCGCCTTCGATGAGGACCCGGATGAGTACTACGAGCCCGAACCCGAGCCCGCGGACGACGACCTAGCGGGCAGACCCGGCGACGAAGTCGATGAGGCGGAGAACGATAATAACATTGTCACGTCGGGTGACCCTAATGCGGCCGCCAACGCTGGCAAGGGCAATGAGAAGTCCCACAAGGACAAGAAGATCCCCAACGACCAGCGTCAGACGACACCCTACATGACCAAGTACGAGAAGGCTCGTATCCTCGGCACACGCGCTCTTCAAATCAGGTGGGTTATTGAATTGGCGGTGCTTGGAAGACCTTTAGGGACGAACTTGGACTGACAAGGAATTACTCTTTGTAGCATGAACGCGCCAGTGCTGGTTGACCTTGAGGGCGAGACGGATCCTCTTCAGATCGCCATCAAGGAGCTGCGCGAGAAGAAGATTCCTCTTATCGTCCGTCGTTACATGCCTGATGGATTGTAAGTCACTACGCCATTCCTCGGCACCTGGCTGGGACAGTTTTCACTAACGTTGCTACGTAGCTACGAGGACTGGACCTGCGAGGAGCTCCTGCAGTAAAAGGAAACCTACAGAACCCATCATGGGATAATAGGGGCGACCCAGTCTTTGGTAAGAAAATACACAAAATTGCATTAGCGAGGGCGTTCGGGTTGAAATTTTACACATCATATTTTGAACCATTTTGGGAGGGTTGGACTCGCTCCAAGGGGCAACAAGAAGAGCACAGCGTGTTCCTCTAGTTGAATAAAAGGCCCATTCAGAACTTCACATGCGTCTGATCAGTCGTTGTCCTGTACGTTCAAGTGCTATTGCTGAACAAGACCTGGGCATACGAGGTACCAAGAGCCTTGTTTCCTCCAGGTTTCTCATGCTGATGTCTGACTAGATTTTCCGCTGCTGTTCAATAGCGAATGTTCGAATTAATTACGTATGTCAGTTATACAGACCAGGGATGGGGTACACACTCTTATAAAAACATGGACTCGAGAATCCAAGAACTTCCGTCTCAGCTGACCGCCATCGTCTTATTCCCAACCCTCGCATGTCCAGAAAACATTCTCATTAACATCACCTCTCCCCAGCTTCCTTCTCCTCCTTTCCCCTGTCACATCAAACCACACGTCTACCAAGGCCCCGTCCCCCAGACCTTACACTTCTTATCCGCACTCACCCCCCAATTAGCCAACCAACAATCCGCATACTGCTCCTTGCACTTGATCACCGCCCCGGCATAGGAATCCTCCTTGTACTTGCCCTCCTTGCACCCCTTGGCGTACACATCAACGCAATCATCGTACTGCTCCTGGCACGCGTCCAAGCAGGCCGCCGCGAGCGACGAGCGAGCGTACGACTTGCACTTTCTGGAGTCCGAGTCCGTATACAGCTTGAAGGGGTGGCCCGAGTTAAAGGAGAGGAGGAGATCGTTGCAGGTTACCACTGGAAGCGGAATCCCGCCTACGGGGGGCTTGTTATTCTTGGGAGGGTTGCAAAGGGAGGTAGAGGTGGGGATTGGGCATTGCGTGCTGGTGCTTGCAGCCGGTTTGGTGGTGGTGGACGTGGCCGGCTTGGTGGAAGTAGGCTTGCCGGTGCTAACAGGCAAACAAGGAACCGTGATCACCGTCGTGGTAGGAGCACCAGGTCCGGGAACCGAGGGCGGCTTGTGGTTCCAGAAGTCCTTCTTGGAGCAGATGCCTCCTGGTTTACCGGAGCCCTTGCAGTAGGTGCTCAGAGCGGAACACCACTCGGCAAACCCGAAGCACTCGAGCGCGCCGGGCCACCCGGCTTGCTTGAAGCAGGCGGATACTTGGAGGAAGCAGTTGACGTGGCTAGGGAAACAGGACTGCGGGGAGTCCCAGTCAGGCAAGGGGGAGGAACACCATTTGCCGCACTTGTACTCGCAGGTGGGTGGGAGGGTGACGGTTTCTTTGCAGATGGAGGAGGTGGTAGTGGAAGTGGTTTTTGTGGTGGTAATAGACGGTGGTGAGGTGGTAGTAGGCGGTGGTGAAATGGTGGAGGTGTCCAGAGTGGTGGAAGTGGCCGTGTTTGAGCTGAGGGTATAAGAAGTAGTGGTGGAAGAGGGTGTGTCAGAAGTTGTTGTCGTCGAGCTGATTACGTCGGGGTGGACGAGGAAGAAGAAGCAGCTGAAGTCGTTGATGATGACGATGTGCTGCTGCTACCCGGGGTAGGTGGCTCATAGCCACAGGGCTCGAGGGACTGAAGCTCAGTGGCGACGTAGAGGTTGAGACGAGCACGTCCGCCACAAGCCTGCGTGGAGTTTCCGTTGCAAGGAATATCGCACTCGTTGTCAGGGGCAGAGAAGGTCCCGTTGCCTATGACAACACCACACCAACACTCGCCTAGCGGAAGATAAGCAGTTAGCATCCGATGCTTTCATTCACAGGACGCCAATGAATAAGCAAAAAAAGTTGCAACATACCGCCAAACTCAGTCCCAGCAAGCGGATATCCGCCTCCCCGGCAAGCTTCCAAGCACTTCTCAGTCGTCAGAGTTGGCCCATTAAGCTGGTCCTGGGGATAAGCCAGCGCCCTTCCATACTCGGAATCATCAGTCCAGCATCCCAAATGGTCATAATCCGCTACGGTGACCTCATCAACCGGCAAGAAAGTCGGATCCTGATAGATGGAGATGATATCACTCCCACCACAGGTCTGCGAGGAGTTGCCGGTGCAAGGGTAGTTGCACTGGCTCTCGTCAAGCTGCTGGCCGTTAACGGTGTTGCCGCAATAGCACACGCCATAGTACTCCAGCCCGGCGTAGCGGAAGCCGTTGCCCTTGCAGACGGAGACGCATTTCTCGATGGTCATGTTCTGTTGGTCGAGCTGGCTGCGCAGGCTGAGAGCGTGCGGGTTGCCGGTGTCGGCGTAGCAGCCTGAGTAGATGAAAGGCTGGAAGGGGTCAAGGCAAGGAGGGAGTTCGATGGTTGTTGCGCGGACACCCAGCCCGGGAACTAGGGCGAGGGCTGCTAAGGCTGCAGCTCGAAGGGCGTGGGAAGTCATGGTGACAGGCAATATGGATGCCGTGGGAAATCTTCAGGATGGTTGGAGTGCTGCTGGGAAAGGGCTGCGGATATTGAGCAACAAGAGACAGGTTGAAGAAGCCAGATGGCCGTCTTATATGATTATCAAGACGGTGAAGTGGTCATGATCCAAAGGAAACAATGCGAGATACATTCTGCAAGCATCTCGGAAGCGAATATCGAAGTGGCCTCCCCGGAGTCCAGTCTGGAATCAATACAACAACGCCACATCACGTTGAACATCCGGTCAAGAAGCTTTGCGGACCCGAAAATGCAAAGATCAGTGATATCCAATCCCTTGTTCCTGGCAAAAAGAGTATTCCGTGCATGTGAAGATTCTACGGCGGCATATTATTTCCTGCCATGGTACCTACCTGCAGCTTTAGCGAGCGAAATACCTTCGATGAGGTACGTTGGAGAAGCTGAGTACGAGAACTGCTGCAAGGTAGCAAGCTGAAAAAGTGGGGTTTACGCGAGCTCTCACCGAGTCCATCTACCACGTGTACCAAAGAGCTGTCATCGCCATGGCGTGGTAGTAAGACAATGATGGGATAAGTGGCTAGGCTGAGCGAACAGGCCCGACCAAGTGTCGTTCCGATATATATGTCAAGCCCTTCCTCGTGTTGGGCCTCATATGTAAAGCCATGGCGTTGGCCATCACACTTTCACGTCGCAGGAGATGGTGATTTTTGGTTTCGTGGATTTCGGGGCAAGTAACCTTATTTGTGTGCATCGTTCCCTCTCTTGGATTGGGATCGGGTCTTGGAGTGTGGTCCATGGTTCCGGTATGTGGTAGCCATCAATCAACCTTCGGGGAGTCTTCAGCTGAGAACGGGAGCGGGGGAACCGAACAGGACGGGACGGGGCGTGATCTGATCTGATCTGATGTTCTCTTCCGTTTATAGGTATGTTGTAGAGAGGAGGTAGTATTATTGAAGACTAGATAACATGTATTACCTTAGCGAGAGGTCCAGACCACCACTTTGCACCTTCAATGTGACTTTGTACATAATGCAAGAGGACTGGAAGGTCAAAATGTTGTCGTAAGGGAAGGAGCTGAGGAGGAGCTGTTAAGGAACTGCGATAACTGATAAGGTTTCCACTTGTAGAGAGAAGGTGCTCATGCACCTGTGTCTTGCTGTTTTAGGGAACGGGTACCTGCATTCGCTCCATCCAAGGTACCCCACAGCGCCAGCCTGGACCCTGCAGCTGCCTTTTTGATCCCAACTTCCTTCAAATGTCGTCTTCTCTTTCTCTTCTTTTTGTCTTTCGACTGGTGATGTACAGGTAGGTCAGAGCCAAAAAGGGCCGTAAAAGTCTCACAACCTATTTATTCATATCAGAAAATACAATCAAACAATAGGGCGCAAGTTACTGGGAGATGGGAAAAAGAAGCCGATCATCTTATTTTGATTCAAAGGCACTCGAGCTACAATTGTCAGTTTGGACTTTCCTGGGCGTGACGATAAGTAATATGCTTCAACACCCTGGTAGTACGTGTTTTCCACTCTTGATGTCTGCAACCGTTTGATAGGCCTGAGAGCAAACTGCATGGAAAGGAGGCTATGTCCATCTCATGTTGGGTTGGAGGACTGTTCTTGCACATTGATCTGTGTGATTTCATAAAGACACCTCGATTTTGCACCTTGATAAAATCCTCAACGGTCTCTTATGACATGATGAACTGTACCTCATTTCGCATATTTCCTCTAACTTCGCAAGAATTACTACTGTCTTGAAACAGACGAACTCGAACTATTGTCACGATGTTGTGGCTGAGTAATTAGGTTCAGGGGTCATCATTATCTCCAATACTTCACCTGTGAAGATTCATACTTGGTGTGTTAATGCTGAGACATGCAGTAAATGGTATTGCGCCTTCTTCACATGTCGTATCAAGGAAACGAAAAAGAAGCATAGAAACCACCGAGAAACAACAAAAATGCGGAACAACCTGACGTGAGTATCTGTCAATCTAAAACCCAGACCTAGGTACGCAATAAAGACCCAAGTACATATGTCTTAGCATCTCCCCGAACGCTTCATCACCGTCGTACAAACCCTCTTTTGTTCCCACATTCCCGCCTTCTTTCCTCCGAGTCGTCCTTTTATGGCACGGTACACTAAATTCCTTTGAAAATTTCCGCTATGAACCCGCATCGTTCCCGTCCAAAAGAAGACATGAGGCGTATCAGAGGCGATCCAAATCCAGCTATGTATTGCTTGCCCGAATCTGATTCATCACTCACATGTTTGCCCGATTCTGTCGTTGACAGTTGACAGACCGTTGAACGTGTGTGTGTGTGTGTATGTGCGTGTGTTCGCGCTAGAAAACAAACATCGGAAAGGGTTATCAGCCACAACAACCTCGTGTAGGGTGTGCATCTTTTGCTATTGTAACTTTCTCATATGAGAGCATCGATCATCACACAGCAAATGTAGCGCAGCAAGTAAGCACGGGCAACTTCTGTCTTTTGCGCGGGAGTTCCTCACCGCGGAGGACAACGGGACATATTCACCAAAAATACATGTCTAGCCAGCTCGACCGAGATACCTAAGCTATTTATGACCATACATCCGTTTAGCCGTCCCTCATTAACTTTAACCTTCCCATTAGAGTTCTCCCAGCCACCTTTACACCATCTCCGAAAACGTCCTCCCGGGTTGTTTCGTTTTCCAGAAGTTTCGCAATGCTTGTTTCCAAGTCCAAGTCCCTGGTATAATCTGATACACGTTGTTGCAATGCTAGATCAATGTCGAAAACCGCAATATTGACAACGGCTAGGTGCGGCACCGAAACGACAGACGGGTATGGTATGATGCAACAAAAGCAAGCGACGGCCGGGGAAACACGACACGATACTATACGACACGACACGATGGAAGCGAAGAGAGGAGACTGATGCGACGAAGGACTCAGGGTAGGTGTGAAACGGAACCAATGAAACAGATTTTCCCTTGAAATTGGAAAAACGAAGAAAAGAAAAACTTCGTTAAAGATTTTGGGCGCCGTCAACCATCGTGAATTTGCCGTGATCGTCAACCGGGGTGTTCCCAAGCAACGGGGCTCCGGGGTCGATCGGTGCTCCGTCCTCATTTTGAACAGTGGAGCTGCAACGCCGGGCGGAGAATTTCTCGTCCTTTGATATTGCAACGCAATTTCGATTTCTTCCGAGCGTTATGATCCTTGGCCTTTTCTTCGCTGAATTACAACTAACGTATGCTACTACAGGATGTTAACCACTGAATACTTCGTACTTAGAACGCACGGACTGGTATCAGCAGAATCACCTCGTTTTGCGAATAGGCTTTGGGAACTTGTCATGACCATTAACCCTCAATCAACGCTGGGAGGACTGGGTCCATTTTGAATGAATGAATGATAAACGTGAAGAAAAACGCACAACCACTTTTAGTCCAGTCTATGCTGCAAGAGGTGCTCCCCATATTACGTGATGCTAATTTACATGAACCTCGTAAAGAAGGGAGCGCGAACAACCCTTAAACTCCATTGTGAACAAGTGCAAAGAGACAAACCTCTTAAGCACCCTCACGTCTCCACTTGGGAACGTACTTGCCGGGAGCACCGCTCGCCTTCAAGGGCTCCGCAGAAGGGACGTCCTTGTCGTTCTCACGACCAGATCCAGTCCTCTCGGCAGCAGGGCGAGGGGCCGCAGCCCTGAGAGGAGGAGCGCTCCTCTCGGGGGCGGGGGCAGGGGTGCTACCTCCAGAGGCGGCCTTGGCAGCCTCTCTCTCACGCCAGCTGGGACGGCTGCCGGCAAGGGGCAGACGGGGAGGAGCAGCAGCTTCTGTCCTCTCGGCAGGGGGAGCAACGACACGGGGTCTCTCAGCAACGGGCTCAGCGGCAGCAGCGGGGCGGAGCGGCGGTCTCGCCAGCGGCCTTGGCGGCCTCGCGCTCTCTCCAGCTGGGGCGGTTGCCAGCGAGGGCAATGCGGGGAGGAGCAGCAGCCTCGGTGCGCTCCGTAGCCGCGGGGGGTCTGTAGGCAGAAGGAGTAGCAGCAAGCTTCTCCTTCTCGGCCTTGCGCCTGGCCATGGCCTCCTCCTCGCGCTGTTGCTGGCGGGCAGCAATCTCGCGCAGCTTCTCGCGCTCCTTCTCCTTCTCCTCCTTGAGGCGCTGGAGCTCCTCCCTGCGAGCCTCCAGACGCTTCCTCTCTTCCTCCTTCTCCCTGGCGGCGCGCTCCTCGGCCTCGCGGAGTTGACGCTCACGCTCCTCACGCTCGCGCTTCTCACGGATCCTCTTCTCGCGGGCCTCCTTGCGGCGGGCGTTGATCTGCTTCTCCATCTCACGCTCGGCATCACGGCGGCGCTTCTCGAACTCATCACGGCGACGCTCGTGCAGGTCAGACCTGAACGACTCGTAGAAGGGCATGAGGCGAGTAAGACGGTGCTTGAGCTCAACATCAGCCTTGTGCTTAAGCTCAGCCTCCTTGAGAGTCTGGGCCTTGGTACGCTCGTAGGCAGCGAGATCGCGCTCGCGCTGCTTGGCGTAGTCTTCGGGAGCTTCTTAGCCTCCTCCTTCCTGAAGGCACGCTCGAGATGGTCAAGACGCTTGCCGGTGATACGGAGCTTCTCGGAGACGCTGTTCTTCTCACGCTCGAGCTGCTGGAGCTTGATCATGCGGATCTTGCTGCTGTCAAGGGTCTCGATATCCTCACCCTTGAGCTCCTCGAGCTTCATGTCCTTGAGCAGAGCCTCAACCTCCTTCCTCTTGATTTGCTCACGCTCGTTGGCAAGACGCTTGGCCTCGCGGAGCTTCTGCTCCTCAGCAAGACGAGCGGCCTCAGCCTGCTGGAGGGCCTGCTCCTGGAGAAGCTTCTTGCGGGCATTCTCCTTCTCCTTCTGGGCATGAGCCTCAGAAGCCTTGTCCTTGCGCTTCTGAATGATCTCCTTGCGAGCAAGTACCTCCTGGTGCTCCTTCTCGGCACCAGCCTTGGCGCGAGCAAGGGCCTCATCGCGAGCCTTGATGCGAGCCTCGTTGAAGCTAGGGTCGATGTAGCGGCAGGTGGTGTAGAGGGCCTCAGCAAGGCGAGTGAGCTGAGAGCGCACAATCTGGGAGGGAGTGCTCTGGAGACGCTGGACAGAGCCAGTCTCGCTCTCGGCAGAGCCAGCAGAAGAACCAGCGTGGACGGCCTTGGCGGAAGAGAAGACGTCGGCGTCGAAGCTAAGGACGCCAGTGGCGTGGTCCATGCGGATGGCAAGATCGCCCTTCTTGTTGCCGTTCATGATGAACTTCTCAATGGTGCCGCGGGTGACCTGGAAAGGCTCGGGGAACTGAGCCAAGCTCTCGACGAACTCGAGGTCGACAGTCTCATACACCTGCGAAAGCTGCTGGAACAGACGGGTGAGAATGACCTGCTGAAGAGGAAGGATGTACTTCTGCATCTCGGCATCGGCGCCAATCTCGGCAAGAATGGGGGAGATCTTCTGGCAAATGGAAAGAGGGTGGAAGTCGACCTCGAGGATGTTGTAGAGATCGCGAATCTGGGGCTGGGCGCGGCGGAGGAGCGACTTGGAAAGAGCATCGCGGAAGAGACCAGCACGGGTAGGGGCCTGGGCCATGCCGAGCAGGTGGGTCAAGCGAGAGTTCTTGTTCTTGCGGGCCTCATCGAAGTCGACCATGGCACCGCGGGAGCGCGAGGTGCTGATGACGGGGATGGAGAGGGCGGAGAGAATAACGAAAGTGGCAGCCCTCTGGAGGTCAGCATCGCTGCAAGCCGGGTTATCAGCCTTCTTGCTGTGGCCGGAAGCAATGAGAGCAGCAGACTGGCGCAAGAGGTTGTAATAGCGGGCCCAAGCAGCGGCGTGGAAAAGGTAGTTCTCGCCGACGAGGAAGATACGGGTAAGCTTCTCGTAGTAGTTGGCCATCATGACGTTCTTGGCGGGGCGCTTGCTGAGGCTGAGGAGGGTGTGGATATCCTCAACACTGCGAAAAGCCTCCTGCCAGAGCTCGAGCTCAACGGCGACGTTGAGCTGCTGGAAGCGGGTCTCAAGGTGACGCTGCAGAGTATCGGGGTCGTTCAGGTTAATAGCGTGCATCTGAGCCGAGTACTTGGCGGCGGTTTGGACATGGTTGCGGAGAAGCTCGCAAAGGCGGCGGAACTCGGTCTTGCGGATGTACTTGAGGCAGAAGTCGAAGGCCTGCATGGCGGTGCTCTGGTAGAGGATCTCAAGACGAGCATTGTTCCTGAGAATATCCAGAACAGTGCGGTAGGCCTCCCAAAGGAACTTAAGCCAAGGGGTGACGATAGCGCGGTCGGTACGGTCGCGAGACTGCTCACCGGAAACGGTAGCGAGCAGGATGGACTCGGGGGTCTCGGAGGCCTCGAGATCGTCGATGTTGGAGGTGGTGGCCTCGATGCTGGACTGGACCTCGTCGGCCTTGGCCTGGGCAACGGTGACCTTCTCGGCGGCGAGCTCGATGAACTTCTTGAGGACCAACTCGATGGTGGCGACGTTGGTGTTCTGGGCGATGTTCTTGTACTGGTAGAGGGCGTCCTTGGCAAGCTTGCCCTTCTTCTGCTCGACGGAGAGCTCGACGAGGAGGAGCATCACGGGCTCCAGGGAGGCGATGGGGACATTGCGGGAGCGCTTCGAGGTGATGTGCTCGTGGAGCAGGGTCAAGGCGGCGGAGGCCTGGTTGACCCCGATGAGCTCGTGGGCGCGCTTGAGAACATTCTCAGGCTTTTGGTGGGGTGGGGGAGGCTGTTGATGGTCAGTGACGGTCACCGAGGGTCATGATACTCGACAACACTTGGAGGTTGAGCGGGACAGGCGGGGAGCGGGGGTGGTCGAGGGTTCGAGGAGGGGGGTGAGGGCAGGGTGGGCGGTGATGAGGTAGGCGACGATGGAGTTGGGCTTTCCAGTCAAAAGGAGGGGCAGTAATGATAATATGAACTCGAAGCCATAACCATAAGGCTAGGTAGGCTGTATTCCCAACTTACCATGATGGGCGACTCCTCTGCACTTGGCTAATCTAGAGGAGATATGGATAAAGTGGTGTTAGGGACGCGGCGCGCAAAGCAGCACGTAGAAATGCTGGAGACTTTGGCTGAGGCTGCGCTGTCCAGGACGATTTTTTCGCCTCGTGGAGAAGTTCGGTTTGCTAGTACGAAAGCCCTGGCAAGGTTGGAGGCTCGATTTTGCTGAGGAGCACTTTGTGGGCTGGGATGATGCGGGACAGTCACGTGATACACAGCTTATAGAACCCGCTGCTGGCGCTGCTGCCTTGAACAACTCAGAGGCAGAAAGTGCAAGCTGTGCGATGTTTGGTCACTTCCTCTGAGCAGTTGGGATGGATGGAAATAAAATTTCTTGGAATTGACTCGATCTGATTGTGAGGCTATTTTGCACAATGGTAGAGGTTAGAGTTTGTAGGTCGCAAAGGGCAAGTGGGATGTTCAGCCAATCTTGGGACTTGGTGCAGTGCTGTCCAGCGTGGAAAGTGTGTGCGTGCGGCTGCTTTTTCTTTGTTCGTGCGGGAGTTCCCAGCCCGCTGGCGCCGTTCGTTCTTTTCTGCCGAGCCACGGACCCCCGCCTTGGGTGACGGACCGCCGACAGTCTTGCCAAGCTTTCTAACGGCTGTCATTGAGAACGTTGCTCTGAGGCTTGGGACTGGAATCTTTGCGGGCTTCGGTCTGATCTTGAAATGAAATGCCCAATTACTGCATAGGTGCCTTCAGTGCATAGGTACAACTACTGCTTCAACCATCGCAGTGGGCATTGAGCCTCTTCTCTGTAGATAAAATATTTACTGGTAAATGCATAAAGCTCTGGGACCTACTTTATATGCAGAAACAGGGGCTTCTATTCGTCATCCTCATCATCCCACCCAAAGCGTTCAAGCGTCCATCGTCGGTCGGAGCAAGTGGGCATCCACCCACCCACTGGCGCCATTCCCAATCCTATCCCGACCGGCGATGCCTGCTGGAGCCGGGGTGGTTCCGCAAACATCAAAGGGGATAAAGTGGGGGCGGGACTCCGTCGTGTTCTGGCTGCATTTGCCATGGATTTGCTGCAGTACCTATTTATGCACAGCACCGACAGCCCGTCCAAATGGAAGGTCGGCTGGTCGGGCTAATCCTGTCCCTATCCAGAAGGAGCTGGCAGCAGCCCATCTTCAACGGCTTTTCCATCTTCCTTTTTCCTTCCCAGATCTTGACTTCCCAGCAGTCTTCCAGAAGCTTGCCAACAATGTCCATCACAATGGCACGGATGGGGCCGGACAATAGGGAGGGGAGAGAAGCTAGGAGGCCGGATTATCCTGATAGCTGATACTAACGGGCCTGCACCGATTCCGTCTACGGTCGTAGTTAGTGTTGAGTAATCTAACAAAACCTTGCTAAGCGACCCCCTGGTCCGTCTCATTTGCACCTGGCCCTTTTTTTCATGTTGCCTTGGGTTGCTTTGCCCGCCCAGAAGGGGAGTACAGCACCGAAGCGACCAGCATTGCAGCAGTGCAAGTGCAGGCAAAAGCGCAGCACTGCAGCAGGCCAAGCAGGGGGAATGGGGGATTGCACGGACTGCACCCACCTGCCGAACCGTTCCCTTCAGGTTCTGTTGCGCTGCTACTGGCTCGAGACTGCTTCTACAGGCTGCGCACTGGCCACCGTCGCGGTCCGGGGCCCGCCAGTGGCACTGAAGGAATGAAGGAACTTCCATATGGGCGCCCCTTCTCTTCCCAAGACTTGCTGTTAGGAATCGTCAATCGTGTTGTCGGTCTTTTGCAAAGCAGCATAGGTTGGCATCGTTGTCCGGTCGTCCTCCATTTCTCTCAGCTTCTATACTCTGGACCAGCAGCAGTCAATGATAATCCATTTGCGCCTCCTCCGACCCTTCGCTTAACCCAACTATCGACTGTCAACGTTTTCTCAAGTGCCAGGAGGTTGCCGCTTACCAAGAGTGTCCGGTACGTATTCGCGATTCGTGATCGTTCCATCTCAGCTTGCCGCAATTTCCAGTTGCTCCATCGCGGCCGTCGCCCTTCAACTTCACGTCAAGCACCGCCATCCGTCCCATTCGTGGCCGCCCATTCGCTAGACGTTGGTATTAGCAAGGACAAAGGAACGCGGGAGGAGGAACCCGAACCTTAACAACTATTTTTCCATCTCGTCCCGACTCGAGCAAGCATCAGCGCGCCCCCGACCGACGACCGAACTGGAGTGATTGAATGGCGATTGACGACGGCACATCTGAACAACACGACTGACACGACATGTTTGAGCAGCACAATTCCTATCGTGAAATACCCACAGCGCCGCCAACCCCCAATTCCACTCGCGACCCATCTTCACCACAAAGCTTTTCCGACCAATTCTCGCCTTTTATCGCGGCACCATTGTCGCCCACGTCCCCGACGACACTCCAACACTCCTTTAATTCCCACCTCGGAGCCCAGGCTTCGACAAGCTCAGCCAAAATGCCTCAGTACGCCTCTCGCGATGTCGGCGACCCGTCGCAAATCAAGAAGAACAAGCAGAGCATGGCCGACCTAAAACTCCGCCGATTGACCGAACTCAACAACCGACTACGTGAGGATTTGGAAAGGGAAAGGATTCCGGTTAGCCAGGCGGCAGGAGGTGAGATCCAGCCTTCGTTGTTGCTCGGTCGTTTCGGCACATTTGCCGGTCGCAGTTCATTGAGGCTGACAGTCGTTTCTTTTTCTCCTTACAGCATAATCGCCTACTGCAACAGCACAAGAGATTACATGGTACCAAGTGTTTGGGGGCAGGTGCCCAAGGCCGAAGACCCGTACTTGCCACAACAAAGCAGCGGGTGCTGCGTTGTCATGTAAACCTCGAACTTCCACAAAATACGACATCAATGCGGCGACAATAGGGGAGGACACTCGAACTACTCAGTTTTGCACGGGCGATCAATTCAACATCCCGGCACAGCGATTCCTACGAAACTCTCTTGGTGAGCGGACACCGTCGTTCGCAAGCGGGATTGGATCCGGACGGAGTTAGTTTGCGAGGCCGAGAGCGTTATCGAAGATCATGAGCGATCATATGGCCATCACCGGAAGGGAATAAGGTCGACATTCTTGCGGCCCGTCCTTTTCGCCGCCATCATCACGATACGCCAAACCGGGGAGAAAGGTTTTGAGGAGTGAAGATACGACGGCTGGCCTGACCATAATGCTTATTCAAATACCCCCATCCGGCATACTTCGGATCTCACGGCAGGCAGGCTCGGCAGACTCTTCAGCATGTAACACCTTTTTATTTTTTTTTATTTTTCCCTTTTCTTTTTTCACTTCTTATTCCCCGGTTGTACTCTTTTAGCTCGGCCTTTCTCGATTCCCTGTTTTTGTCATTTTACATGTGTATATCCTGCTTCATGAAGCGCTTTTTCTCGCGCGGCTTCCCCTTCTGGGTCTGGAAAGGAAGGGGCTTTACGACACGATAAGTGAGGCAAATGAAATGCACTAGACTATTCTAACTCAAACGCATGATATTGGGATGAAATGCATTAAGATAGCTTTTATCTCGCTTTTCAACGAGGTATCAGGTCCGATGTCGTGGTGTCCAGGATGATGTGAATGCTGCAGTTACGAAACGAACTAGGTAAATGTCTCTTGTAAGTGCACTAACATGATTGGCAAATCTTGAAATGATAGGTAGTAGGAAGCATTTGTTATCCACACTGGATCTCGCTCCGGTTGTTGGTGAACTGAAGTTTAGTTCGGAGGCGAGATGACGCACAGGCGACTCGGGGTGCGGAACCCGCCCGTTCGATGGAGCTTGACTACGGCTCCGGGATTCGAGTGTTTCGTGAGTGGACTTTTCCTCCATCACATGAACTTCCACTTACACGCCACCACCAAGAACCTACCAGCAGTGACGAAACACGCAAAGGCCACATACGATCTAGAGGCCTCCGTCTAAGCGATTGCATATATCTATCTCAACGTTGATATAGCACGTTGCCCAGTACACGCAAAAGATGACGGACCAAACTCCAACTCTTACTACCAGTGCCCCAACCCCGACTCTACTACCGAGAATTACCATCCGCTTTTGTACTCAGTGCAAGTGGATGCTAAGGGCAGCTTATGTGAGTTTGACATTCCACAATATAGTTCAGCCGTTACCTGGTCATCACTATCACGCATTTCCCTCGTTCCCATCGGCTTGTCTACACTCCTCACTTCCGTCTCATCCATTCATCCTCCAACTTCATCTATACCATTCACCATCCACCTTTCACCCATCCTACCACCCATCCAACTCATCCAGTTTACCCATCCTCCTGCCTAGCCATCCCCTCATTCACACCCCTCACTAGAACCTTCAGACCATGCTAACCTCATACTCTGTAATATATAGTACGCCCAAGAACTCCTCTCAACCTTCTCCACTTCCCTAGGCGAAGTCGCTCTCCAGCCCTCAACAGGCGGCACGTTTGTCGTAGACATCACCTACTCCAACTCCACAATCAACATGGACAATCAAAACCAAACCCCCACCGACCCCGAGATTCAAACCAAGACACTCTGGGACCGCAAAACAGACGGCGGCTTCCCCGAAACCAAGGAACTCAAGCGCCGCGTGCGAGACGTTATCCAACCGGACAGGAACCTGGGGCATGTTGATCGGGATTATGGCTCCAATAAGTCTGCTGCTACTGAAGCTGCCCCTGCTTGTTCTTCCAAAAGTGGCGCTGGCAAGACGGAGTGTGCTGATTGCGATAACTTGACGGAGGAGACTTATAGGGATGTTGAGGGGGGTCATTCATTCGGTGTTGGGGATGGAAGCGGGCAGCAGACTAAGACGGAGAAAACGGAGTCGGTGGGAGCGGGGGGAAGTGGTGGAAAGGAACAGGAGAGCGGAGAGAAGAAGGCGGCTGGTACGGACTGGATGAGTGAGGAGACTTATCAGGACTTGGAGCAGTAGGAGGGGGGTAGACAGTGAATGGGAATGAAGGAATGAATAAATGGACGAGTGGTTGTTTCAATGAATGCTTGTGGTCACGGATGGTTAGGTTAGGTTACGTTAGGTAGGGACACTCCGCTCTTTGCACAAATAGGAGTAATTGATGGAATCTTCTTCCAACTGAAACGTTGAGGGGAAAAAGACAAAAGTGACGATGCCTCCACAGGAGTCCAGAGTGTGCCTAGAACAGGGCAGATGAACCAGGAAGCCGGTGTCGGGTATGAATGTTAAAGGCGCTTACATATATACTCCTGAGCAGGTAGATACCGTAAAGTTCACAAGGCAGTGCAGAAGGCGAAGGTGAAGCAGTGATAAAGGTTCACAATCACTCCCTCCCTTCAGAGTTCAGCTTACTGCACGTGTCGACACTCAACGACTACCATAAGCAGTGTTGAAGCGATGTGTACAGCAAGATGTCGAGCAGAAAAGCTATCTATATGAGATGTTATTGGCAACAGTTTTTGTGGGAGCTGCTGAACAAGAGAGTATAATCGATTTTCCTTGATTTCACATATCTCTTATCTGACTTGAGGTGAATAACAAAACCGAATAGCACGGAATGACGAAAACACTGACGGTAACGGAATCTTGGAGAGAGGTAAGGCGAGTCAATCACTTGGGAAAGACATGAAAAGAGATGAAACCTTAAGCATGAAGTACGAAAACAAAACGGTGAAAAGAAAAGGATGAGTTGACATCCGACATATCTTCACTCCTTGCCCAAGCTCAGCCACCTTCTCTTAGCCTCTCTCTCCAACCTCCTTACGTAACTCACAAGCCCGCTACGTTTCCCCTTCCCACTGTTCATCCCACCCATTCGCTTTGCTTGACTCACCCGACCACGACATTTTTGTCCCTTTCTCCTTCCCTCGTAACGTATACTCAGGCCGGTAAACATACAAATACTTCAACCACAAAACAACAGCCCGTATCTCAATACCGCTTTCGCCTCGCTGTCATCCCAGAGCCACCGCCAGTCCATGCTTTTGAACCGAGCCTGATCCTCGACCGTCAAGTCAGAGCCATACGTACTCTTATCCGCTGGTCCACTGGCCTTTATTTTCGGACACGCTTCATAACTCACAACACCAAGAAGGAACCCCCAAAAACCCGAGCTTGCCACACATCCTGTCCTCTCTGTATGCCCATATATTGTGACCTGATGTGATAGTTCTTTTTCTTCTCCTGTCCTGCCCAGTGCTGTCTGCTCTCTACCCATCAGGGTGTCCTCGTCATGTCAGACAAGAACCAGGGCCCAGATGACCGCTGTCTTTCATCCCATCCTCTCCCTTCTTGTATCACTCACTGTTCCGTCACACCCGTTTGCACCGGTCGTAGTTTACCTCCAGGATGGAATCCTAGCGTTTCCAGCATCCGGAAATATAATGGCCTAAGTTGCGAGAGCTGTAGAGTAAGGTATGGCGAGGACTGTTCAACCGGATCGATGAGCTGGTTGATTAGGCTGAAGACACGTGTGGACGCTGCTCTGATGTGGATACCTTTCGAGATCGAACCATGAGCGGAGGATATCGGAGTGGCGAGACACAGCATGCCGTAGTCAGAGATGCTGGAGCGGATGTAAACAGACAAATTTTCAATACACTCTCCCATGACAGAATGACATATGCTTTCGGTGAAAAGCGAAACAAAACAACTAGTTTCCCCCTAAGACACACACTGCTTATCTATACCTTTCCTAGCAGGAGTAGTGACCAGACAAGAAAAAGAAAAGGTCGTTCGTTATTCATCCCCCCGAAATATAAAAAGATTCCCCTCCCTTCCTACCCTCTCGAGTTGCGTGGATACCGGACGGACGGAGAGACAGGACGGGCAGACGTGGCTTTCGTTTCGTTGGCGCGGCAGGAGGGGCGAAGACCTCCCGGAAACAAGTGGTCGGAATAGATGGCAGACGGGATGATGGTTGGGAGCCCTGGCGATCAAGAAAGACGGAGTCGATAGACAAGCTGGCGGCAAGATACTCATGTTCGTTGCTAGTGGGCGAAAGTATCAGGCGTTTATCGGCGGCCGAACCTAAAAAAACGGGGTTGTTCGTAAAAAAAACTCTTTACTTGTGCTTCCTGGGGGTCATGATTTTGCTAGTGCCTCCTTTGAGACTGGGAACGTACTTCTGTTTCTTCTCTGCGGGCTTGAGAATCTGCGAGGGGGGGTTAGAAAGAGCGTAATGGTCTTGGACTTGCCAGGGCAATGCAAACGTACCTGGAAAGAGCAGAGCAAACTTTCATCGACGCTCATCATAGCACCAGCGTTGTCAAACTCGCCGCAGTAATTGGGGGCACTAAACAAAGTAACGAGTTGGCGCTTCGAGAAGAACTCGTATCCGTCCTCGACAACCTGGTGAGCACGGCAGATCAAATCCATATCGTGTTTTTGGAGGAAGCGCGAAACAACATCCGGACCAAACGTGAAGGAAACACCACGGTCGTTTTCGCTCCAGCCAGTAATATCCTTATCGGGGTCGGACCACAGAAGATCGCAAAGAAGACCACAGTCAGGAATCTGGGGGTTTGTTAGCTTTTCACGTTACAGCAATTCCCCGAGCAAGGGGGAGACTTGGACATGAATGATGTAACGTACGTCAGTTGGTCGCATGACTCGGCGGATCTGCTCCATGGAGTTGAGATCCGGGCTCAAGCCACCGTGCATCGTGAAAATCTTCTCGTCGATAATGGCAGCGATCGGTAGGCAGTTGAAGCAGTCGGTGAATGTCTTCCAAAGCTTGATGTTGTACCTGCGCTTGCACTCGTCGTAGAAACCATAGATACGGTTGATGGACGCGCATTCGTGGTTGCCACGAAGGATGAAGAAGTTCTCGGGGTACTTGATCTTGTAGGCGAGGAGCAGGCAGATGGTCTCGAGAGACTGCTTGCCGCGATCGACGTAATCACCTAGGAAGAGGTAGTTGGCCTCGGGAGGGAAGCCACCGTACTCGAAGAGACGGAGGAGATCATAGTATTGACCGTGGATATCGCCGCAAATCTAGCAAGGTGGGGCACGATGTTAGCCATGAACACTGCAGAAAGGGCAGTATGGCGCACGATGGGGCCATGTGAAGGTATAATCAGGAGGATGTAACGCTTACCTTGATGGGAGCCTCGAGCTCGAGCAGGATGGGCTGAGAAATGAAGATCTCACGGGCCTTGGTGCAGAGATAGCGAATCTCGGCTTCCAGCAGCTGCACCTGCTTACCAGGCCGGCTGCCCCGCACCTCCAAGAGGCGGTCGATTATAGAGTCGAGATCGACTTCGGTATGGTCCGCCATTGCAAAATCCTCACCAACCGGAGAGATACCGCGCACAAGGTTTCGAAGTCACGGTAACGACCGACAGACCCCAACTAGTCGGATGGGACGGTCCTAAAAGAGCGGCACGCGTAAGGAGTAGAAAACTGGGGAAGATGCACTTCTGCAAAGCTAGATGATTGATAAAAACGTTAGACACGTTGCCTATGACGACGCAAATTTTTATGTTGAGTTTTGCAGCACGCGATCGCGATGGCGGGAAAGTGAAGGAGGAGCGAGGACTGGGCAGAGACTGGGAAGCGGCAATGTAACAGAAGTTTGAGTTGATCAACTTACGCTCAGAAGCGATCCCAGCAAAAAGCGATTGTTGGGGGGTTTCGGAGATGCGAGCGCGTTCTCCTTGGGGATACAGCAAGCGGTAATGTTTTTCTTGAGATAGGTATTCTTTCGGATACCCAATGTTGTGTTTTTGTGGTTTTTTTTGTTTTAGTAAGTCGTCACCGGGTTATGCGGAGGTGCGAACGGTCTAGAGCAAGCGCAAGCAAATCTAGCGCAGCGTCGTCGGAGGTGCGAAGAAATCGGTCCGGTGGTACGCGGCGACAAGAGGGTTAGCAATGATGGAGAAAGGAGACGGGTCCAGAAGTCTCTGATCGTCCTTTGTGAGGTGACGTGGTTTTTGTCGCGCGGACGGGCTGAGGCAAAAGGCCGTGTCGTCGTCGAAAACCCGAGTCGGAGAAGGTGTAGAAGGGGAGATCAAGTGGTCCTGAGACTGCGGGATGGAGAGGCTGTTGTCACTGCCAACTGCCAAAACCACGGTCGGGGAAGACTGGTCGATGGGCTGCCCGGGAGAGTGCAAAGAGCTGCAGTGAGGTGCAGTGCAGAGCGCTGGTGGGCGGGTCGGAGGGTCGCTGGAAAAAGCTGCGTCTAATTGAGACCGACGGCCAAAAGACGAGATGCCGAGAGATGATGCCTATGATGCTAGGACTTCTATCGCCAGGGTGGGGTTGGAAATGCGCGTTCTTGTGGTTAAAGACGTCGCCCTATTTTGGTTGGGATAGAAAGCGTCGGGAGAAAAAATCAACGTCGGTGGTGGTTGCTTGGAGACTTTTGGAGGAGAGGGACGAGCGCAGACGCTTCCACTTGGCTGCCCGCTGCTGGGGGGTCCGGCCGAGCGATGGGCTAGAGACTGGCGACTGGCGAGCAGAGGAAGGGATTGGGCTATTGGCTTGGGGCTAAGTACTGGGCCGATGGAGCAGCAAGATTCGCACGCACGCAACGCAGCAGGAACGCACAGGGCTCCAGACCATGTACGCTAATTACTAGGTATGGTAGAACTAGCAGAGCAATGGGGCAGGCAGGCACGAAGGCAGGCAGTGGAGGTCTAGGTCCAGGGCAGAAAGGAAGGTCGAATCCGCGTTCCTTAAAGGTCAGGTACCTTATCGTTACAACCACGACAGGCGTTCTGGTCGGGCTTCGGTGCAGGTGTGTTCTTGCCGACTGGGCTCTCATCTATGAACAAAACAGCAGTGACAACGGAAAACTCGAAACATCCGACGCGATGGCAGGCAAGAACAACCCTCAACTCCAACTAAACGAACGGCTGAAAACCACCACAACAAGGACAGACTCAAATTGAGCGTGAGCTTAGTGCCCGTTCTGAATCTCCGTCAGATCCTGGCCGAGCCTTCTTGCCCTTTCCAGTTGCAGTGAAGCGGCCCTTCCAACTTGGCTCGAGAAAAATTGCATGCACTCGCCTCTGGGGGGGGGGGAGCAGGTATGATGATGAGTACATAGGTCGAATTGCATGTTGCTCACTAACGCGACGGGGTAAGAGTTGCGCTGCCTGCCCCCGCAAACTGCGAGCGGCTCTGTTAGCGCGAGTCCCGAACACCGGACCCTCCTTGGCGGGCCTAGGCCTGGGATTGGTTCGCCTAAGCCGCTCGCGATCCCGATGGTGGATGTCACCTGGAACTTCCCATCTCTTCCAGCCCTCCAACTTCCTCCTCCCTGACTCTCACTCTGTGTCGAGGTAGTGTGTAATACCTTACATAAAAGGTAGGCATGTACGCGGTAACAACAACAAAGACGGGAATGCCTTCTTGGTCGCCTTGTTGTTACTTTACACCAATATTCCGGCTAATTTTGAGGTTTGTTCTTTTGTCGTTTTCCCCTCCATCAACATCAGTTTCCGCAGACGCAAATATAGGCAGTCTGGCTCCCTGGCCTACCATGTCAGGCACAAGCACTTGGTCTGCATGATTACAACAGCTCGAAACGAAGAGGTAGGTACCTAGGTATAGAGACAGGTCGACAGGCAATCGATATCAAGTGAGCACTCGAGGAAACATTCGAGCGACTCAGCCGCCGACGTGTATCTGGAAAACCAGTGACAGGGAAGCTCGGCAGCATTTTGGCAAAGCCTCAGTCAGGCTGCTGAGGATCTTGGGGATCTACTTCTCTGCGGTCATAGGTGATGCTTAGCTGCATATAGAAACCTGAGATTCTGGTCGCTCAAGGATGCCAGTTTCCGTCGAAAAGGAGGCCCTTTGGCAAAATTACCAGGTCACCAAGAACTCGGTACCTTGTCAACGACGACTAGTGTCAACATAGGTCTCTTTGAACCACCATCACCATAACACCAGGGAGATATTTTGATAGGTCCAAGTTGGGTCAGGTGTTGGTCGGTTACGGCAATGCTCAGCCTAAACCGCCATACGTCGAAAAGAGAAATCACCATCGCAACTGTGGCATCAGAGCATGGGAACTTGCATAATTTTATCCCTTGAAGTTGTAGTTGGTCGCATTGGGTTATCACCACAACAAGACATAGCAAAGCATCACACACACACACGAAACCAACAACTACTGGTAGGCGCCACAATGTCTAGACTAAACCTTTGGTAGCCCTCAGCTTGCACCTGGCGCCAACGGCGTCTGACCTACGATATGGATCTCGGAGACTACAGATGTTTCGGCAGTGTGTCGAGCTCTCCCTTGTCACTTTCACCTCGTTGCCGCTTCGATCGACTCTCCGGATCACAACTCCGTTTCGTGAGACGGAACGGCTCCTGATTTGCAGTCTTCCAACCGCAGCTCATGCATCATCCCAAGTGCATAGCCTGCCCCACTACCCACCAAACTGTTCCAATTTGACCATCTGGGACACTCCGTAAAACACGGCATTCATCATCCGCTTCTGGAAGCCAAGAGGCTCAAGGCTCGAGTGGCATCGGCTTCTCAAGTGTTCGCCTCTGTCTATTATTGCTAGGTACAGCGGGGATCGACTCATCTGCCTTGCCATCGAGTCCGAATCACACCCAAAGCTCTATTTCGTCTCCTGTTTCCATGATTTTTTGGTCTTGTCATCCCGTCAGCACCCTCGCCCTCTCCTTAATCAATACCGGTCAAGACGGACTTTATACACACTGCATTCGAACGACTTGACCGGAACAGCTCTCTTGTCGTTCATGTTGCCCCTCCACAAGGCCTAGACTGCCCAGTGGCAGAGTTCGGGTTACCACGGAAGGCGGGGCAGACCCCTCCATTTAGGCGCCCCCTCCCCCCATTTTCATTTTCCCCCCCTCCAGCTCGAGAGCCCCCTCCTCCGCAGTATGGAGCGCGCCCTGCCCCCCCTTCCTCAAAACCCCTCCACCATCTTCAGTTCTGAACTGTGACCGGTACCGGGGCGCTGCTTTGAAAAAAATGTTCAAAAAGGGACGCCGCTGTCCTATGGTATTATCCACACTCCCTGGACTCGATTCCATCCATGCCCCTCCATCCCTATGCTGTCATTGTGCGCAAGTTCCGAATCCATTTGTCCACATTTGTTGCATTTCACTGCTCATCGCCCGTTGAATAGCATTATTCACTGTCACATGAACAATGATAGGTGATTGTCTTTCTGTTCATCTTTCCTCGAATCCTAATGCTCCGAGACATAACTTACATGAGGTAACTCTCTAGCTGGGTATGACAGAGTGAGCCATACTCGTCAACATCTACTCTCAACATATCCAAGAAAAAATACCATACCGTTACCAGGTCTTTTAACGATGGGGAAGCCTGCTAACAGAGAAGTATGGATATGCACCCAGGGTTCATCCACCCTCAAATACCCTGACTTCCATCAAACGATCTTCGTCCCTCTCATCCGTGCCATCCTATCCCACACCTCGCCCACCCATCCGTCCTCATGCTATTCTATGTCATGGGCCCACCACAGTGATCTAAACAATCTGCAAGTCATGCCCTGATCCGCAACGGAAGGATGGGGGACCACGATCTCGTACGTACGTGCGGATGTGGATGTGGAAAGCAGACATGCATGGATAAGAGACTCTCGGCTTGCTCGGCAGAGAAACGGAAAGAATGAAAGAGAGAAACAACAACATCAAGACTCAAGACTACCGAGAGTGTAGTGTAGTATGAAGACATAGCCTGACATCACATCACTTATGGTGTGGAATAACGGAAACAACCACGAAGATCAATCTGATAGATCAGATCACCGATCACTTACTTACATGTCTGCAACGAAAACAACTGCCTATGGTAATTTGTCTGGGTTAGGCTGAAGCAAAGTCGATTTTGTCAACAACACATCTGCGTATAGTGACAGCATATCCACGGAAAACATGGAAGAGTTTGCATCTAGACCTTCGTTTCCCCATTTGATTATGGTATAGGGTGAATCTGGGGTCAAAAGAGGAAGACTGTCTTCAGCAGTGTATGTCATGTCTCATAGTTACACAGCGTATGTATGATGGTATACAGCTATCGCGACTGGACTCTACTTCAGCCCATCCGTTGATATGCTCATAACTCCAAAAAGGTTAGCTACGATGGATGACATTGGCCCTAAGTGATTCGAGGACATGATGCAGATAAATCACGTATGTGGTTCTTTGGTTCTTGTCATGCTTTTGACATTGAGAAAGGTGAGAGACCGCTACCAAGGTAGGGATGTATAGCATGCTGAAAGGAGAGAGAAGGAAATCACACAACGGCGAGAAATGGCATGTTGCGTCGAGGAAGTAATAAACTATGATAACTGGTATATAAACGGAGGGAGCCAGAATTATCCAGCGTGAGGTTAATGATACCTAATCAGGAACCAAAGATATACCACGAAAGATAAAGCAGTAGTACCAAGGATCATTGTATGTAATCCCGTTGTAAAAGAACAATGTTTGAAATCTTCGTTTCACGCCTCTTCGCCTGTCTGTCTGCCTGGTTATCATGTTCAGAACACTAAAAATCCATCCATCTTCGCGCCTGCCCCCCCACCAAACCCATTCCATATTCCCCTCCGTTTGCCTATATAATATACTCAAGATAGATGAAAATAAAACAATTGGAAAACTTCCAAAAAAGAATAACGACAAAAAGGCAGAGACCCCTTGCTCTCTCATTTCCACATTGCAGGAGAGGTCGATCGCTGTTGAACAGGCAAACTCAAGACATGGAAAAATAACGAGGCGATTACTGAGCCAACGAAGTGTGTAAAAGCCCATCCATCCACCCATCCATGAAAAAACTAAGGCGCCGCCGCCGCCGTTATGGCAGAGGTAACCGATGTATCCGTACGCACAATACAACAATGCTCCTCCAGAAGAACAGGTAAAGCAAACAAGTGAGAGGAAGAGAGGATGATGAGAATCGAAGT